ACCAGGAGAGGGGCCACACACCACTAAAGTCGAATGCCTGGCTGCCCGGCTGGCCATGGAAGTGGGGCCCTGGTCTAGGACTGGGACTGGGACTGGGACGGGGGAAACTGGGAGTGGCCGGACCACCTTGCCATGGCATACCATGCCTTGCTTGGTCTGGCCTGGGCCTGCTGCAGTGCGGCCTTGACCACCACCTATGACCATCTTTCGCTGCATTCTGAATCTCTCGACTCCTCTTCTCTTGAGTTCTTCCACTCTCTCACACCTCCATCCAGCATATCTTCTTCTCTCCAGCAATCTTCTCTCTACAGACCCTTCACCGAGTCTGGGAGAGAGCTTCGAGAAGCGACAACACTTCTTTTTCTTCTTCATTTCCCCCCCCCTTTCCTTTTCTCCTTTGCCCTCCCCCCTTCCTTGTGTTTCGATACCCTCAATTGTCGTTCGCGGTCCGGTTCTGTGGCCTCCTCCCCCTCCCTGTCCCCACGGCTGTCTCTACTCGCTCGCAATATGAACAAACTGGCAAACATGCGTCACTGGTCCGAGAGGATGAGCCCCAACTTCGGAATGGGTCGTCCCAATATGCCCATGAACCCCATGAACCCGAGAAGAGATACAGTTCCTCAACAGGCTGCTTCAATAAGCTCACCTCAGCCTCTCGATGCTCCGACGCCAATCATCCACTACTCCTTCAATGTGCCATTCGCCTCTGACCTCGCCGGCCCCAACACTGAGGACATCCTTCACGCCACCGACGATGCTGTCCTTCGCTGGACTCACCCCGAGGACGTTGCCGATGACGTCCAGGTCCACGAGCTCCCCGTCCACACCCAGAACCTAGCCAACCTTCGCAAGGTCTGCAAGGACATCACCAACGGCCCTTTCCAGATCGAGGCTCATGTCATCTCGACGACTCCGAAGAACGCGAAGGGACAACAGGTCACCACTGTGTGCCTGTCGGGTACTCCGGAAATGGTCAACAAGAGCAGGGAAACGATTCTGAACGACAACCAGACTGTCTTGGTAGGTTTTTGCAGCTACGACGAGGGCGCCGGGCCGTGGATTAACCTGTGTCAATCTAGCGCTGTACTACTGTCGATGTGGAGGGCCACCTCGTCTGTGACCTGACTGCCGGTGCTTTGAAGCAGCAAGTGACGGATACCTTGGACTATATTTCCAAGTACTGCGGGGTCGACATTTTCTTGCTGGGCCCCAAGCTGACACCCGTGGTTGACGGCATGACGGGTGACGCCGAGATGCGCGTAGATCAAAGATGGCGAGTGGCTATCTATGGCGATATTCTCTCCGTCGAGCATGCAAAGGCCCGTGTGCTCATCCAAATTGACACTCTGGTAAGCTTGGCCAACCACCAACCAGACTCTGTCTTACCTCGCTAATCGCATTGCAGCTTGGCCGAGTTGTCGATGCCACCAAGCTTGACCTGTCGATTCACCAACTGGTGTGCGGCCGCCACCGGAAGAACATCAAGCTCATTGAGTCGTCAACCGGCACTGCCATCTACTTCCCGCCACCATTCTCTCAAATGTACCGATACTGCCCGCCAGGTGCAAGCCGCCGTGATCCTACGGACATCTTCATCACCGGGGAGAGTCCCCAGGCCATTGAACTCGCGAAGCAAAAGCTCCACGAGACTGTTTCTCGCATCCGCCTCTACATGAAGGATGTCACCATTTCGCCCGCCAAGATTGACAGCGTCTTGCTCACCCGTCTGGACAAGGTTCGCAAGATCCTCGAAGCAAACGGCACCTACATCTTGTTCCCCCCCTTGGCAAGCCAGCGCAACATGGTCCGAGTCCAGGGAAGCGAAGGACTGCATGTTGAGCGCACCGTCCGTGAGGTCATGGCCTTGGTAAGTCTTGCAGGAGAATCCGACGCATACCATTGTCTAACAACTTACTGTAGGCTGGGCAATTTTACAGCGCGGCTTGGTGGATCCAACAGCCCGACAGTCGACAGCTTCCGAACCCCGCTGACGTCAGAACCATGCTCGGTGATGTTTGTGCCAACTCGGATGCCGACCTGTCCTTCGACAAGATGAACTTTTCAATTACAGGTTCCGACGATGCTGTCAAGGCTGCTTTGATGGTCATGTCTGAGATCAAATTCCTCGTTCAGTCCCAGTACCAGATTCGAGTCAAGATTGAGCTTGCCAATGAGCACAAGGAATTCGTGAGCGGCAAGAAGAACGGCAAAATTAACAAAATCATGGGCCAAAGCAGTGTACAGATAATCTTCGACGGCTTCAACGAGTATAACTTCAACATTGATGTCATGGCTGCCAGTTACGACTCAATGAAGCAGGGACTCACCCTTGTTGAGCAAGAGATGCCTGCTTCCATCTCCTTCCACGTTCCTGACCAGTACCACAAGCGAATCATCGGCATCGGTGGGCAACATATCCAGCGTATCATGAAGAAGCACTCCGTATTTGTCAAGTTCTCAAACGCTATGGACCGCGGAGGCATGGGCCGCGAAGATGACGACGTCAAGGTCGACAATGTGATCTGTCGTACTCCTGCCAGAAACGCACAGAATCTCGATGCTGTCAAGAACGAGATTCTGGAAATGGTCGACAGAGCAGTAAGTTAGCCAATTCGGTATGCCTGGTTCCATGCTGACCAACTTGCTCAAGGACTCCGAGTACACCTCGCAGATCGTCAACGTTGACCGTCTGTACCATCGTCAGCTTCTAGCTCGTCTCGGTGAGATTGATGAGCTTGAGGGCAAGTACAACTGCAAGATTGTGTTCCCCAGCACTGAGCAGGCAAGCGATGAGGTCACTGTGACTGGTCCACAGTGGCAGGTGCCTCATTGTGTTGATGAATTCTTGGTATGCCCTATGATAGAGCTCATGCCGTCGAATCTTGTACTAACAGCACCTTTAGGGCATGGTTCCTGACAATCACGAGTTGGTTCTCACCCGCACTCCGGAGTTCATCAAATTCCTGGAGTCGCCCAGCTTTGCCCACGATCTTGTTCCGAAACTGAAGACCCAATACGAGGTCGAGGTTACCGTCCATCAGGATGCCGATTCCGAGGATGGCCTGCCGGCTCTCGCCTTGCGCTGGACGTTCACTCGCAACAATGCCGGCGGTCTGCGTGACGCCATCGACTTCCTGCTTGCTCAATTTGCTACTGCTGGTGTTGAGGTGACCATTTTGAAGGGCTCGATCCCTCGGCCCAAGTCCGATTCTTTCGAAGACTCGCTTCAGTACTTCGACTCGAAGCTCCTTCAGCATGCGCCGGCCACCATTGCTGCCGATTCCCCCACCAAGGCGGCCTTCGAGGGGGAGGTTGCTCGCGAGCGAGGCACCATCTTTGACCGTCTTCGCAAGCCTGGCAGCATGACCTCCATCTCGTCCTTCTTGGACCGCCGCAAGAACAGCTCTCACTCGGCCCACGCCAACTTCTTCAAGGGATCCAGCAATGTTTCCAAATCTTCCCTTATTTCGATTGAGTCTACCCGCAGCTTCAATGCGGACAGAAATCCCTGGAACGATAGCGGTGTTAATCTTCCAGACGACGACAACCCATGGGCCCACCGCCCCATGGGGAATGGTGCCGATAAGCTGGCCATTCCCCAACCTGGTGACGTTACGCCACGTCACAGCACTCGAGCGTCCGGCGACAGCGGTCGCCCTTCTACGTCTCATTCTACGAATTCTGGATACCCCGGTCCCATCGGACCTTTCCGTTAGATTCCCGTCTTAGAAAATCTACTACGTGCAAAATACCCCGGCTGGATATACCCTGGCGTACAATACCCCCGGAACGTTGCTTCTGATGCATCGGTCGGCCGAAGTTATCGTTTTGCTTGCTTTGCTACTCTTGTTCGTACTTTGTTTTACTTGATTTAGTCTCTTACTCTTGCGGGTTTCGATAGTCGCTATCAGATGTGTTCACGTCCACTCTTTATACCCCCGATGTCGAAAGACGGAGGACAAAAAAGAAAAGATACCTTGTTTGCGGTTTGGTTTTGTTTGTTCTTGCATTCAGCGCTCCTGATGACCACGGTCTGATGGGATACGAAAAAGAGGGAGGTCGAGGGGTCATATGGTTTCGCCCATAAACTCGATGTTGGTACTCCAACTGCCAGGTCCCGCGATCTTCTACGGGTCTATCTATCTAAGTGGATCAGCTCTGCCCAACTTTCTTCTCTACCGCCACTGAGATCGGAAAGTAGTGGCGCGAGAGATCTCGAGGCTCAGATGGAGTGTTGACTAGGAAAAGATGGAAATAGGTAGTTATGCTCTCTGGGTGTGGGTTGGCTCAGCAAGTCCGCCAGGCGGTACAAGGGAAAATTGACACGGCGGCAGGCCAGTGTGGCGCAAGTTTCAGCGGCTGATTGAACTGCAAGCGGGAGATGACGACGGAGCTGTAAGGATACCTGGAGGCCTTTTTTAGTTTGACCTTGACATGCAACGATACCCATGGTCATTCAACCTACTCTTCCGTTCCGCTGTGATGTGTGATCGTCGATGATACCGGGCGCTGTGGAACTCGTGCCTCGCCACAAGTAAACCATTTTGTCTCTATGTCGAGGGCAACGACAAGCGGCATGTGGATTCATGAGCTGCGTTCGACCTGTAGGAAACGAATGTCAAGGCCGACTCTAACTTGAGATCAAACCCATGGCCAGGTGTCTTCACAACCTCCATATTCCCCTCCAAGCCATACCGGAAGACATTCATTCAGCAAGATACTGACGGCAAAGGCTTCAGCGGTCGCGAATGATGATCAAGTACCTTTACATCATGGATGCCAGAGTGGGCCAGCTTGAGCATACACTCTCTGTAATGTGGAGGTGCAATGACAATAATATTCAGTTTCCTTCTCTCTCACCCTTCGGGTCTTGATAAAATTTACAGACGCAAACTGGCATGGTCTCAGACGACATACATGTACAAGTCTTGGTCTTACAATATCGACGCCCAAAGCTCCTGGGCAAGTACTAGTTACCTCAAACGCACAGCAAACTCCCTTCACGAAGCAACAGGCCCAACCGAGACCTTCTCCTGCCGTGCCCGCGCCTCCTGCTGTGCCTTTTTATCGTGATGCCGCTGGACCCGCCGCTTCTCCGTCATGATGCCCGCGAACCTGCCCTTGGCCCCGTGCTTGATCTTGGTAATCATATCCGTCGCCTTGCCCTTGTCGACGTCATCGGCCGTCAGGGGCTCCTCCTTGGGCCGGAGCTTGTTGAGAAACTCGAGCTGTCCCGGCGTCGGTGGGCCCTTGCGCCAGCGCTGGTAGCGCTGGATAAAGACATGAGGAAATGCCTCAGAGTCGGAGGCGTACTTGTCGCTGCCGTGGACCGCGTCGGTAAAGGTTGCGGCTTTGAGGAGCTCGCGGGGCGCGGCGTAGGGGGATTTGGCGATGCCTGGGGGTAGGGCACGGATCTCGACGGTTTGCCAGAGGAGGGGCCGCTCGCTGTTGGTGTTGGGTTTTGGTTCTAGTTGGGAGAGTCGGATGTACGAGCCGTTTGGCGCACAGAGAACGTATTTGTCTGGGCCGACCTGGACCCACGCATACTGACTAATGGCCCGTATGTGCTTTTCGCCAGATGTGTCCTCGATTAGGTCAAAGACGGAGTCGTAGTCGGTGAAAGTTACCGATCCAGCAGACGCAGTAGGTTGAAGTGCAGGAGTCTCGGAGTAAGCGTGGCCCTGCCGGAGTTGCTCCGCCTCTTTCCTGTCCTTCATCTTCTGTAAGTCGACCGTAGACGCCTTGTTGACAAGCTCGCTTGGGTCCAGACCGAAAAGCGTCGGTGTGGTCACGATACCCGTTTGAAGACTGGACACCATGTCGATGACGTGGCAATCGGACTTTCCCTTGTGTAGCCTCATGCCTCTCCCGATCATCTGCACAAGAAGGTTCCGAGATCGTGTTGGACGAGCAAGAATAACGCAGTCGATATTTGGTATATCGGTTCCTTCCGTGAAGACTCCGCAGTTCACGAGCACAGGAAACTTTCCTTCGCGGAAGGCCTCGAGTATCTCGCTTCTCTCGACTTTGGGTGTGTCTCCTGTCACGAACCTTGCGTCATAGCCGTGTTTGCGGAATGTCTGCGTCAGGCCAGCGACGTGTGCGAGGTCGACGCAAAAGACTAGTGTCGATTTCCGATCCGATGCCTTGGCCAGCCAACTTCGCACGGTGATTTCGTTGATCTGGTCCGTGTTGACGACTCTTGACAGCTCCCCTTGTTGGAAATCGCCATTGACGCCATTTTTGACCCTAGATAGATCCGCCGTCGATTCCACGGTGGTAAAAACAACATCCGACAGCCACTTGTCTCCAATCATGTCAACATAGTCCTTGTGATAGACAATCTGGTCGATAGCGGCGCCCAACTTCAGACCATCGAACCGAGAAAAGGTGGCAGACACGCCAACCAAGGATGGTGAATCCAATCTCTTACTTTCGAGTCCAAAGTGCCGCAGGACTCGCATGTAACCTGGAGCTACGATGTGGTGCGCCTCGTCGACGAGTACGAGCTTGAATCTTCGCGGGTCGAACTTTTTGAGTCGGTCCCCTGACGTGATACTTTGCAGGCTGGCAATGGTGATGTCTGCAGTGCCGGAAGCATGCATGGAGCCCATCTCAATCTCCACGGTGCTGTTGGGATATTCATTGGTACAGTGCCTTGCCGCCTGCTCAACAAGTTCTCTCCTATGGGCGAGGATCAGGGTCTGCGTGGCGAGAGTTTGTTCTGGTTGAATTCTTTGAATTAGCTGGGTGAAGATAACCTGAGACCGTTAGACTGCAGTCATCAATGTTACATCATAAAAGCTGACCGTCTTGCCACTACCGGTAGCGAGTGATATTCCCAGTCTCTTGTGTCCATTTTTGAGAGACTGTAGGACAGATTGAATACATTCTTCTTGATAATCTCTCAGCCGTATCTTCGAGCCCGCGAACCGTATCCCAGCAGAGGGAACATGTCTCTTGAGAGGGCTTTCAACGAGGAAGGGAAAAATTAATTTATTTACTGTAAGAGAAGGCCTCAGAAGCTTTTGTGTGGCAAATGGTATCATGTTGCAATGGTCTCCATTCTGCAAGGACTGGAAGATGAAGGAGTGTGTATAATCAAGTGTAGTTGTCACTGTTGCGGAAACCTGGATGAGCGTTGAACGCAAGGGTGCGCAGTTGCTCCAATCGAATGCCTAAATTTGTCCCCACAGGCATGGACAGCACTTTGGCAGTTGTACCTGAAGTCCCCTAGTAACGCAAATACGAGACTTCTAGGCACATACCTGTTAGGAAAGCACAACGAGCAAGTTGTGGTCCCTCGACCTGGAAATATTCAATCTTCTAATATTAGTGAGGCAGCGTTCATCTCACGTCAAGGCGGCAGACATTATGTATCTGCAAGGCAGCCACCAGTAGCATTCACCAAGCCTGGAATCCAACAAACGGAACTCGGTGCTTATGCGGCATCGATCTCTCCTCTGTATTGGTGTTTCCATCACAACATGTATGCGACACACCGCCTAGGCCGAATCGTCGACTGCAAAGTTTCTGACGAACATGAGCATGGAGCCGGACCACGATTATTTGCCAAAAGAGGACGGTTCTGGGGAACATGAGGACGTTGAAAGGTCACCATCAAAACGGCAAAGAACTGAACGCCGGCGACCGCACTCCCCGTATTCAGTCGCATCGTCCAGCGACGATGAAAACGGCACAGATGAGGGCCGCTCACCGCACAAGCGACGGGCGCAAAATGAGATCGTGGAGCCAGTTCTCAAACGTCACAAAGGCGTCTTCAACAATAACTACCTCGATCTCTTGAACAAAGATATTCAGGACATCGTTCATCAAACGACAGTCGGGGGAGACGAGGCTATGCCACCCTCGCAGATTGGCTTAACGACTTGGACCTCCTACGAGAAGACACTATTCTTCGAGGCTCTCTCAAGGCTTGGAAAGGACGACATACGGGGTATCTCGGCCAGAATTCATACCAAGAGCGAGATCGAGGTCCGCCAGTACATTGTCCTCCTGCAAGCGGCCGTCGAGGGGAGGGACAAGGAACAGGATGGGCGCAACAAGCGAATCCATCTAGTAGACTACCCAGCAGCCCTCGAGATCAGCCCGCTATGCTGCCACGCGCTCGACGAAGCAGCCGATGCACTCTCTTTCCGCCAGGAACGGCACGAGGAGCTCGTCGAACAGAAGAAGTGGGGTGAGTGCTGGAACATCAACTTGGAGCACGCGAAACGCATCGAGGGCGACCACGGCCTGGAAAAGAACCCGACGTTTGCGAGAGATCACGGACTGGCATTCACCGAGATCCTTCGGGTGAAGAGTTTCCTTCGGCTTCCCGAGCGCATCTTCATGAACGCGTCCAACGCCGAAAACAATTGGCAATATGTCAGCGAGGAGCCGCCGACGATCAGGGCGACCGCACTGCAGGATTTTCACTCCCTTCTCGTCTCTGTTACCAAGAAGATTGTCCTCACTACGCTCTTCATTGCTCAATCTCGGATCCGGGGCAAGAAGCAAGTTGAACCATCCACGAGGAACCTGGTCAGGCGCAAGGACGTCGAGGCAGCAGTTGCATCGTTGGGAATGAAGCAGAACAGCAACGAGTTCTGGACGACATGTGCACGCAGGCTACGACTTGACGTCTGGGATGACGAGGCCGAAGAGGTCGGCGACGACGAGTACGATAAGCCAATGTCGTACGACCGCGTAGAGAGCGTCTTACGTAGCGGAACGGATACCCCCGAGTCCCTAAGTACCGGCGACAAGCCTCCGACGCCGCAGATCAAATTCGAGGATAGCGAAATATCGGACTCGGCGGATGATGAGGGCTCCATCTCAGAAAGGTCGAGTAATGAGGCGTCTGCTGTCTTGAAAGATGCAGAACGCGAGGTTGCCGAGGAGGCCAACGAGGTACTCATTTACTCCGCTTACGACTTCCCCGAGACGCATCGCACAAGAGAAGCCTTGAAGAATAGGATTAGGAACGAGCTGGCGCAGGAGGCTCACGCGGAGGCTGAAGATGCAAAGGCAAGCCACGAGTGTGAGTCGGACATGTGGCGGCTTCTGCAGCGGCAGCCCCCAGAGCCGTTGATCACGACGCAGGCTACAAAGCCTGATAGGTACATGGCCAAGGGGGTAGAAGATCTCTACGATGTTGGGCGGAGATGGAGGGAGAAGTTAACATACCACAGCGAGTGGGAAATGCTCGGCAAGTCCCGGCTCCAGGACAAGACGGCCTGAGCCTCGGTTTAGTTATTGACATTGGTTTCTGTTTTTGATACCCATAGACTTGGATTTACCTACCTTTCTTTCTTCGTCAAGACCGTATCATGCTATCCTATACTATCGAGGGAAACCGAGAACGAGGCTTGTCCACGTACAACATTCATGCTGAGTGAGTGAGGCATTTGCAAAGTCGCACTTCGCGACGGGTATCGTTATCCACAAAGATCTTTATGGACAGCCGCCAGATTGCTTGCTGTCCCAGGTCGAGTCGAATTTGACTCTTGCTAACGTCCCCGGCCCCGTCCTCTGCCTCGGCCCCTGCCTCTGCCGCGACCTCGAGCAGCCCCTCTCGTTGACCGCGACACCGGTGTCCCGCTGTCCTCGGCGCTTTCCTCTTCCTCTTCGTGGTTTTCCTCCTCGTCTCCCTCATCAGAATCTCCAGAGCCGCCGGAGTCTCCACTTTCATCGGAACCGCTGCCATCGCCTTCCTCTTCTTCGTCCACTTCATCTCCATCTTCGCCGTCTTCTTCCTCTTTGTGACCATCTTGCTCTTCATCATTAGAATCCGAGTCGTCCTCATCCTCGTCCGAGTTCTCGTCATCGTCGTTATCTTCTGAGTTCGTCGAGTCGGCCTTTTCAGCCTTGCCAGCTTTACCACCCTTCTTGGGTTTCTCTGCCCTTACTGGCTTCCTTTTCGGCTTTTCAGCCTCCTCGACCTTCTCAGCTTTCTCAGCCTTGGCCTTCCCAGCAGCCCTCTTTTGACTCCTGGCCACCCGCGCCGATTTTGGCGGCGGCGACGCAGTTTCTGTGCCAGCATCTTCCGTATCCTCAACGGTGCTAGCGCGAGTCTTGGTAATTGTGGAAGCGCGTTTCCTCCGCCTGGTGTTCCCGCCAGCATTGCTACCACCCGGGGACGGCGGAGGTGGTGTGAGCTCGAACTCTGGTGGTGAGGTTGGAGGTTCGCTGGGATCGGCTAGGCGACGCTCCATCATCATCTCGTCGAATTCATCGTAGGGGAGAGAAAACTCCTTGAAACGATCGTCGTAATTGTCATCCTCTTGGGCGTCGTAGAAGTCTTCTCGCTGGTCGATCGTTTTAAGGTCATATAAGGTACGTAGCTTGGTCCAGATGTGGGGGATACGTGTGTGGGTGTAGAAGTCGGGGTCAATGCCGTGGTTCCGCAAGTGCTCGCTGATAGCAATCATTCTGAAATGTTTGTGCATGCCTACAATGTGACTGTTAGATCCAATGGAGCTCGTTGGAACATGGGAATAGAAGCATAGAAACGGCAGACCGACCCGCTGGTTTCCACCGGATGACTCCTTTGTAGAGTGATGAAAGCTGATCGTCGGTCCAAAGATTATTTGGCCATTCATCTGCAGAAGGCTTCACTGGAGGGGCGCTCGCTACAGGAGTATCGGCAGCTGGGGTATCGACATCCATGGCATCTTCGTCGCGAGCTGGCGTCGGCGTTGCGACAGCAGAGACGCTGCCACGCACCTTCTTTTTGGGAGGCATGGCAGCGAGGGCCAGTGGCGCATCTCCAGAGAGATTCCTTTTCCTGGATTGTGTCGCGTGGAGATGAGATGCTTGGTGATGATATGGAGGTGGTAGGGCTGTCGTCCAAAGGCTATGACAATCGTTGTTGGAAAAAGAAGCTTCTGCGTCTGAGAGCTCTAGCGGGTTGAGGCATTGGGAGCTCTATTGGTCCCACTAGTTTGCTCTCCCACGTAGCAGGGTAGGTACCTTTAGGTTCTACAGCCGCTTCTGCGGGGAGGTAGCTTGTGCCTGAAAGTGAGACGCGCCAGTCGCGTCGCGGGGCCCGTTGATATAGAAGAAACGTCATATACTATCTGAACCCCCAAAGATGCGGTGTCACTGAAAGCAGACTTTGCGCCCCATATCCGCCTACGCGAATGTTTAACATCGCAACACCACCGTTGGCGCAATCATGGTAGACGAAGATGACATTTCGAACGTCTTTGCAATTCCAGACTTCCGGGAGCCGTCCAAATGGCTTGAGAATGAACTGCCCTTGGCCGACAGTGGCTTCTTTGCTCTCGACCTCAGAGGTGCAACCCCTCAGACTCAGAACCTATGGTTCGCTTTACTGACGCATGGTGTTTCTAGATGAGGAGTCCTCGTCTCGTTTCAATCTGCCCGAACCTCAACCTAGCGAACTGTTCACTCTCCCTGCTATAGACCCTGCCCTGCAGCAGGAGGAGCCGAACACGGCCGAAACACCTGATTTCACTTTCGAAGAACCTCCGGCAAGGGAAGAGGAGGAAACGGGCGACTTCTGGCTGGAATTTGACAAACCTGCGCAGAAAATACCAGAATACAAGACGTGGGAGGGCTTCGAGTCTCTCAGCAATCTCTCGGCGAAGCCCCTGTTCATAACGGAAGCTGGGCCCGGAGCGTTTGATGCCCTGATTGGGCTCAAAGAGGATCCTCTGCGCATTGGAAGCATTGGCTTCGCGGTGGTGGAGGCCGAGACATATTGCAACGCGCTACTGGCTTTGGCTCTTGGAAGAGAGTCGGTATTTTTCTCCTGGCAAGATGAGCAAGAAACTTTCAAGCCAGCCTTGCCTCAAATCAGGATACCGGCATATTCAGGCAAAGCTGTTCAGGAAGTTCAGCGTTCATGCCTAAAGTGCGGAAACACATACCGCCAGCTCCGCAAGTTTGTCGACGGTACATATTTGAAGAACCCGACTCCATGCCGCGTTGCTCTGGCGAGCGCTGTGGACAAGGCCCTGTTGGTGATTCAGAGCAGTGTCGCCTTGCATCGCCGACACCCGCGGTCAATTCTTCAAGTTCAATCGCTCGTCGCGAATATTTACACTATCTTGCGTCAGTTCGAGTCATTGGTGTCAAAGATCCGGCGAGGTCATCTGGACGAAGATGTGTTCGTCATCGTGTTCCAGCAGGCTCAGTCTGCCGAGTACGCTGAGACCCATCTCAGAGACATGATGCGAGAAGTCCTCCGGCGAGTATCAAAACCCTGGATTGAGCTTGTCGAAGAGTGGATCGGCACACGGCGTGAACTTGGCGTGCCTCTAAGCAAGCACGAAGTAGGAAGACAGAAAGGCTTCATCAAGGTGGAATCCGAGACCTATATTGACGACTTCGGTGACGAGGTTGCCGTGGTCGACTTCCGCCTTGATGCGAAGCGAATACCCAGCTTTATTCCAGAAGACGTTGTCAACTCTCTATTCGAGGTTGGACGAAACCTTCGTTTTATAAGGTCAACTCACCCTGAACATCCTTTGGCGCAAGACAGCGTTATCTCTTCAAGTGGGCCTCCCACTGTTGAGTGGCTGTTTGACTGGAACTCGATCGTGCAGTTGGAGAGGAGAATACGATCTTATGAACGTGCAGTTGGTGAAGCCGTCAAGACATTTTCTTTGCAAGCATCTGCCGAGGTCGAGGCGCCAGCTGGGCCGATAGCAAGTTCAAGGACGTATCAACTACAGCTATTTGGCCTGGATGAGGAGCAGCTGCAAAGTAAGCTGGTCGCATCTATCCAGGACTTTTCAAAGCCAATTACCGATTCGACGTCAGAAGACCTGTTGGGTATCATCATCAGGGAGCACTTGTCTGATATCACAACCGAGATTGCAAGTGCCGGAACCGAGTTTACACCGCATTGGTCATTACTTCCGATCCTCTCATTCGGATCCATCATATCTGCGCAGTGTAGAGTCGTGGGCAGGGAAAGTCTCAAATTGCTCTTCACATCCCACAACTTGCGGGAGCATCTGAAGCTGCAAAAAGAGTTTCACTTGTTGGGCAATGGATTTTTCTGCAGCCGTCTCTCCCATGCATTATTCGACCCAGATCTCGAGACAGCAGAGAGACAATCTGGCGTTGCCCACCAAGGAGGAGTCATGGGACTACGGTTAAGTGGCAGGGACACTTGGCCGCCCGCCAGCTCCGAATTACGCTTAGCACTGATGGGAGTCTTGACGGAAAGCTATGAGGGACCTCTTGACGAAGGCCTGAAGCCTCGGGATGGCGAAAAGAGTGAGCTTCCTGGGGATCTCAGTTTTGGAGTCCGGGGTCTATCAAACGAGGAAATCGACAAATGCATGGATCCCAGCGGATTGGAGGCCCTGGACTTTCTCCGGCTGTCCTACAAGCCACCAGCAGCCCTGGGAGCTATCATCTCACCCGTAATTCTGGTGCAGTATGATCGAATCTTCAAACTGCTGCTCCGAGTACTGCGGATGCAATATACTGTCAACCGTATTTTCCGTGAGGTCACGGCCCGGGAGTCGGGCTGGCAAGATGTCGAAGACATATCTATCCGCTTCTGCTTCGAGGCTCGTCACTTTGTTTCCAGCCTCAGTTCCTACATCTTCGATACTGGCATCGAAATGCCGTGGCAGGGGTTCGAACAATTGCTAAGCCAAGTTGAGATCGATCTCAAAACTGAGGACCACAATACGCTCTCTGGCTCGGTACTCAACCCTGACCGCTTACGGGAACACCATTCTCAAGTGCTCGATCGAATTATGCTAGCACTACTTCTGCGCAAGCGGCAACAGCCAGTGCTCAAGCTTCTCGACGAAATTTTCCGCATCTTGTTGAAGTTTGCCCAGTACTCGAGACTCCAAGCCGGTGGGCGAAAATCTCGTGGCCAGGATGCCGCCACTGCGAAGGGCCTCTATAAGACGTTCAGGCGGAATGTCGAGGTTTTCCTGGCGGTTTGCAAGGGCCTGAGTGAGAAGGGAGATTACGGAATCAAGAAGGATATAGTTGGAGAGAAGGCGAGTTCGGGAAGAGTTGACGCGCTAGAGGAAAATCCTATTTCTCAGCTGGTTCTGAAGCTGGATATGTCTGGCTATTACTCCAAGCCATGATCGTTTAATGAGGGACGGTTGGGATTATTGATGAGCAGATAAGATACCCCAGGCGTGTGACCAATAATCAGCCACTGTCTTTCGACTACATAGTTTTCCCTTAATGAGGAGACTACTAACCTGAGTTCTGGTGGCAGAGGGTTGTGATGGCAGACAGCGCCGATCCGGGACAGTAGAGAACGGGGTGCCCCGTCATAGGGATGCCCGGGCCCCCTCCTAGGTAAGGTAAGGTAAGCTACCTTACCTGGCAATGCCCCGCATCGCGTGTCCCACCTGCCCGCGTTTGTTGATTTACTTCCCTCCTTTGGACGAAACGTGCACTTGAACAAAACAAATCAAATCTGTTTTATATTACCGACAAGCTCAACAATCGCCGGAAACACTGACACCATGGCTCGCCCTGGCCCCTCAGCACGGCATCTGACTCTCACGGAAGAGTTGGAGAAGTTGGAGCAGTCCATCACACTGACGCTGCAAGGTAAATACTTCGCATGAAAGGAGACTTGCTCGATCGATGTTCCATCGGCTGACCTGTATTCAAGAAATCGACCACAATTTCAGCAAGGCACACCGCATCGTCACCACGAATATTCTGCCCATTGTAGAGCAATACGGCGAGCACTCGCGAAATGTTTGGGATGCTTCCAAGGTGCGTTGCACTTCATCGGGTGCCCTCCTGCTACATTGGCAGCCCTGCATTACTGACACATAGCGAATCTGCAGTTCTGGAAGCAATTCTTCGAGGCCTCAGCCAACGTTTCCCTCTCTGGCTATGAAGAACAGGCCAACAATGAGGACGATCAAACTGGCGCAACCGAGGAGTCGACCGTTCAAGAAGAAACTACCATTGACTACACCCGCACACCCCAACAACGCCCTGAAGGCGCCGAAGACATGACCGTAGTCTCGGCCGCCGACTCCACATTCCGCGCAGACGATTCTGTTCTCAACGACAATGACCTTACGGGCAGCACGCCTCAGCCGCCCAAAACCAAGACGATGAAGCCGCAGTTCTCGAACCTCGAATCCCCCTACGAGGCGCTCAAGCGCGAGCTGAAAGGCGAACCACCTGCGCCACACGAGGAAGACGACGAGAACGAAGACCTGGGTTTCGAGGAAGACTCGACGGTTCTGTTCGCGCAGCATACGGCCCGTCTGCCGGACATGTCTATGACACCGCGCTCCTCGTTCGCGCCGCCGCCGCAGCAACAGAGCCACAAGGACCCGCTAATGCACCGCATGCTCGACAAAACGTTCCGCATTCAGGCCACGCCGCACAAGGGCCCTGCCTACCGCGTCTCCCCACTGAAGCGTGACGACAGGAACAAGGAGAAGGAAAGCTTGCCTGCATGGCAGCAGGACTCGCCCATGTCGTCACCAGTCATGGCCGTCCCAAAGCTACGTAGTGAGGCTTTTATGTCTCCGGTCAAGAGCAATGCCCGGCAGCGTCTTGCTGCCGCGACTGCATCTGCGGGACCGCGCACTCCGGGCGTGAGCGTGCAAACGCCAGGTGGGGCGAGGAAGACCAAGGACGTGTTTGCTACCAAGGGCAACTACGATGACGATACAACTACAGATCTAGGTGCCAATTTCGAAAAGCAGAAATACGAGATTGACTGGGAGAGCGACAGTGATGAGGGCCATGCGCTGTATGGCGGTATGAGTCCGCCTAAAACGATCCAGTTTGCGCTTCCCCCTTCGAAACTACTTCAGACACCTGGTGAGTGGCCATCTGTTACTTCAGTAGCTGATCCGCTTGCTTACCAAAAGTACCAGCTCGCGAGGCAAGCAAGCGTATTGTCGACGATATTCTACTGACAGCAGGCGCCGAGCCGGAGAGCTCAGAGTACAGTCCTACAATGGTCAAGATGAACGAGGACATTCTCAACGAGAGCTTTTGATTCAATAAAACTTTCAATGGTAACCGGCGAAGGAGAAATTCTCGACCGATGAGAGTATAAAAGGTTGCCTTACTGATAGGCTAGATACCCTTGGTTACATAAGTGAAATCCATTCATTCTGATCCAGACCCCCGAGATTCATTGCTTCCACCCTCACTCTAAATACAAAGAAAACGAAGCGCTAATGTGTCAGCGTTTTCTTACTTTCAACACCTCGAACAACGCAAGGGGCATATTGAACCAGACAAACTCCATCCGAACGACCGTGTTTTCATCACGGCCGTCTAATAAACAAAAAGATTATTCCTATAACTCCCGTAAGAACCATCATACAAACATGGTGGCGGCATCCCTCGAAACATGGCAATTTCTTTACCGCCGCCTTTCACGTGGGCTTTATCATATTCGAACATTTGAAGGGTCTTGTTGTTGCCGGCATGGCTCTTTACAAGTTGCGACGGACAGATGACGGCCAGTATGCAGCCTGTGAAATCATAATCTGAGTATTCGCGTCCTCAGCGGCCCGTTGCCGGGCGATTAGGTTCGGAGACTTCTTGGATGATGATGTCGATGAACTGGAGTTCTTGCTCATTTTGCTCTTGAGGAGCGAAATAGAGCTGCCAAAGCTCGAGACTGAGGCGGCGTCGGCATCCTTTTGGTAGGGTGAGGAGGCTTGCGGGCGGGGGGAGCTGTTGCTGGAGGCTTTGTTGCCCTGTTGTAACGCGGAGAGAAGGGTGTAGCTGTGACGGCTGTCCCCGGTGATGGAGCTGGAGAAGGTGGAGTGCATTCCGGACATGGCTGCCGTGGTGTTTGGTACTGGTGCTGGTATGGGTTGAGGTTTTAATGATGGCAATTGTTCAGGTGATGGCCTTGAAAGCTTGAATGGCCAAAGATATCTTGATATTAGGGAATGGTATTGGTCTGTTTGTCTAGTTGGTCTGCTTGATGATGAGGATGATTCGAAACACAAACCTGAGGACAAGATGGAAGCCTCTACTTATACCAAGTCGATCCTTGCGTTTGGAACTCGAGTCTCTAGAGTACGGTGCTTACATTACTTCCACCCACCTCGAGTTTGGGAGGTGGATATGGATCCAATGAGGTGGCTTTGGAAACCCGGGCACCAGAACCCCTGGCTGCGCGTCTTGACCCGTCATCGGTAGTCGTGGATCATTGCCTTTGCTACTCGGAGGTGTGGAGCAGGAAAGCGCAGGGTAAAGTCACGCGTGGTTCACCCGCGTCGCACGCAAGCTGCCGGCCGGAGGTAGGGAGTGATGCGGTCCAAATAGCGGATAAGCCTACGACAACCATACCGGGCGGCATTCGCGGACAGGGGTTGAACGAGTATAGGGACGGAAATGCAGTACAGGAACCAATAGACGTTGTCCGGTAAGAGAGTCAGAAACCGCGTGAGTCATTACGCACGGCTTGCGCCTCATGCGCCTCGCGCAGGCATGGCAGCCTCACAGAGTCACAGATGCGGTTTTTTGCTGCTATGTGATGCCGGAGGTGCGTATCTGTGTACTCACCATTCATGTAAGCAGTAGTAATACCGGGCAGGTGTGCAGGTCCCCTGGAGAAGATCATGTTGGGGACCACAGGGGGAGGGCGGGGGTAAGGTAAGCGCCCCGGGATGAAGATGCGCCGTATGATGCATTGCGTATGCTTACGGATAGGGTTTGATGGAGACTGGTACCCGTCCCTCACCAAATCTCAAATAGTTCAGAGCTGGCACATGGCTGCTGACAGGCATGCCAGCCTGACGAGAAGCTCAGAGCTCCAGGCTATTCGGCCTGAAATTGCGCAACTACTTCTCAGGCTCCAGCGGCACGTCCATGACAACGAATTGTATCAGTGTGCGTTGCGAAAGCTTGTGGCTGGTTCATCACAAATGCCATGGGCGGCGTCATGAAGTCGGCGGAAGATGTGCTTGGCGGCCGGGGTAGCTATGGTAGTCCTCGCGATGCCTGGCCACATCTGCGGTGGAAGAATTCCCTCCTTTTTTTTCTTCTTTCTTTTTTTACTATGGACAGTTCACTGCAGACCTTGCTTTGCACTGCAAATTTTGTCCGGCCTTCGTATTTTCTCTTACACGACCTTGGGTCGCCGTAGCAATCTGCATGCCGCTCATGGGTATCAGAGCTGGCTCACTTCGAGTCACTACCCCACTGCCTTGCATTTCGGCACCTAAATTCAACGGATCTACCTACACTTGTCCCCTCCAGATGGTGTCGTCAGGCCCAGTGGGGCCGGTGACGAAAGCTCGCCGGTGCCGACTCGCCTATTGGTAAGGCACGCCTTTTCTCCGTCGGCGTCCTCTTCGGAACGCCGACGGGTCATGAGTTTCATCAGCCTTTGATCATTGCAATTGGAAATGTTCACTGCCACGGCGATCCAATGGATGATGGGGCATTCCGGCTGTCACCGCCTTGCATGCGGTTCCTAGCCCGTGACCATAGGGGAAAAGATCAGATGACAGCCCGGCGAGGATTGAACGGGCGTTGATCGTCCAAAGACCCAGACTCAATTCGAAAACTTTCGGCATCGGGCCGGGAAACTATGTTCTCTTCAGCTAAAACAAGCTTAAATTTGATAGAACTCCTAACCTACTTCTTCGCAGGCGACCACGCAATGTCGCTGTCAGTGTTGTAGTCTGCCGTCGTCGGATCCCTGACGGGGCCCCATGGCTGGCCGTGGCTGGGTAGTTGCGGCGTAGCTGTACACAATGCGACGCGCAGTTCGTTGATGGGTTCGATGCCTCGGGTTCGTCAGTTGTATATTTCATTAAACCCTGTCCGCTTGAGTCTTACTTCGTTTGCATGTCTGTCGATTTCACTTGCCCCGTCTTACCCGTCACAGTACTCACTTCTTCAGATACAACGTCATCGCGCCCGGCTCGGCAATACCATCGTCGGCCGCTCCGTATGAGACTTCACTTACACCGAAGCATTGTCGCGCTGCCACGGTCCATGGTAACGCCGCCTAACATACGCTCCCACCCTCGATTCTCTTCTGGTTCGACTTGATAAACTGCTGGGAGCCTTTTCTGGTCTTGCTAGACTGCGCACTGGTATTAGTCAGGACTGCCCGGCAGAGTTGAGAATCCGTTCTCAATTACCCAGCAGAGCCATATCGTGATTGCCTCAGAATCGCAATCTATATGATGCAGGTGGCTTACGAGGGAAGACTATGGCGAACAATCCTAGACTCCCGACTTTGGCATTCGTAGAGAAATTGTATCATGTTTGAACTGTCCCAAGGACTGTAGACGCGACGAATGAGATGATGTAATACTCAGTATGACGTTTCCCTAGCCGTTCAAGACTCGAAAGTTGACACGGATATTGGGACAAATTGAAGGTCTGAAACCCTTAGATGTGATTACAGAGAACCCACAGCTTCGTGTTTGAATTGAGAAAGGCCGTGGGCCTTGTACAGCTACCTAGCAAGACCGGACTCTCTCGGACTGTAACTGGCAATAAGATGATGACTGTACGAGGAAAACTAGCCGAAGTAAGGTACCCAAAGACAGAGAAGATAGATTCACCAAAAAATGATGACAATCAAGTAGCTTCGAGTTCGACTAGCCAAACAAGCCTGAAAAACTCTAGTCCCGTCTCGGTGGAAATGTGGTCTGTGTCAGTCAGACGACAGGCGCTCCACAAACCTTAATCAGAGCCTCAAGTTGGGAAAAAGGGGCGTCATGACGTTCTGTCAAGTGGTCTAGAGCAACGCTTTAGACGCTGCAGCAAACGGGAAGGCAGTGGCTGCTCATGGCATTACCTTAAGGTACCACGTGCTTAGGTTCCCCGCCATGCCTCAATCGGAGCAGCTTCTTATCGGCGGGATTGCGGGTTCTCGTATTCGTATTACCACGTGACCCGTAACGCAGTAGGAGACGGACGCCGAAAACAGATCAGACGGTTTGATTGGCCGGGCCGCCAGATCGCACAGGTCAGGGGTAGCTGCCGTTCCTGATGGATTGGCCAATCGATGAGCTCCCGCCGCTGTCAGACGGGTCGCTTTTGCACAACTCTTTGCTCCGGAAGAGAAATTACAATCCATGTTGGTGAGCGGAAAAAAAATTCTCTTGGGACGAGTTGTGTATACATTATGAAATATAACTAACTGCTTCGCCGGGTAAGTAGTCCACAGAGTGTGTATTGGCATATTGAGTCGAGGGTGGTCAAGTCAAGTCACCGACAGGCGCCACAATTCCGTGGCGGGCGGAAAGTAGATGCTTGTAGCTGGTACTTTTGCCTGGTGCAATGGCTGCGTTGCCGGCGTTGGTTTGCTCGGGCGGTGGGTTAGGGGACACATGGTTGACAATGGGACTCGAGCTAATTGGACATGGCTTTCTCAACTTGACTGAGCAGCGCTCGGTGTGCATCACACAAGACAATGTTTCCGTATCGAAGAGATAATTGAGAAAGAAGGAAGGCAAAAAAAGCGACGAACCGCCGAATCATTGAATAACCCCGCGGTTCCTCACCTCACCCAGGATGAGTGCCAGCGGTTTGGGTATGAATACGTGGATAGGAGCAATAGAAAGATTGGCCCATGAAAGCTTCAATGTCGCATCACTGCTTGGTGTGCTAGATTCAGGGTCACGAACGAACCCGGGGACTCGATGGGCGGTTTCTCGCGTGTCAAACGATTATTATGTGCGTGTGAATGTTCGGAGGCGAGCTGCCCTGCTTGCCTGGTGGAGGGCAATCACGCAATGCAGAGATGCGGCCCTCATTCCGCCTAAACGAAACGAAGCAAAGACTAGGTAACTAGGTTTTTACCTTGGTTGCTGGTAAGGTTGGTAGGTAGTTGGACCCAACAAATTTTCACACTAGCCCATCTGATTGCACTATCATCTACGCGCCAAAGCAGCCAGCAGATTCTGTTCAGGACAGAGCCAGAAGGAACTAAATTGTCATCTCGTTTAATGTTGAATGATAAGCGGACGGCGGACGGACACTTCATTTACCGGCCATCCGAGCACAATGCGACAGTCTCATGTACTGAACTGAGACTGTGATAACCGCCCCGCCCCTCCTTTTTACTCTGCGCTGAGAGCTATGTTGGAAAGCCTGGTAAGGAAAGCCTGGTAAGGATGAAAAAGCTGCCCAACGACTAGAATCAAACTCAATGACCTTCTCTGGGTTGAAGTGAGTTCCTAGGCAGATGAGCTGAACTAAGGAACTGAGGTGGGCGGAGGACGGACAGGCAGGGCGAGAAGAGACTTCCGGCTCGCCTCGCCGTCCGATGGTCCCTGAACACGGGATGGCATTTCCGTCTCATGGCCCGGCAAAGGGTGGTATTGATCAGGAAGAAAATTCAGAATTTGAGTAGCCCACATAATTAGGTCCTAACGGAGACAACCCACAAATCCATCGTGTCTTGATCGCGTTCTCTGCGCTCCCGGTCGTAATTGGCGTGCGGAAACCGCTCTGCCCGCTGTCTGTTAAAACACTGCGGTGGGGTTGTCAACCATGTAGACCCCCGTTCGCGCATCCATGTGGTGGCAGGGAGGGCAGGAGAGGTACAGGTACATCCCAGTGACCCGTCTTGCAGTGATTGGGACAGTGGGACTTGCCTCGCCGACCTTCATCTAGCCTACCAGAACGAACAACTTCATCCAGGTATCCACCTCTTCCCATGGCCCCCGTCCCCGTCCCTGCCTGGCAATCTATCCCCCTTCTTTAATCATTCGAACATGTCCTTCCCTCCCCCATCTCACACGCAGCGCTGCCAATCAACCTCCACCGAGAGTGTTGCCAAAGTTCTCTACCTCGCGCGGCTTTCCCATCGCTGCCTCCTTTTCCCCAGGACCTCAACAAGCGCCAACCTATTTGTTGCTGCGTGTTGCGCCTGAGCCGTCGACCGACCCTTTCGACCCTTTCGCGCCCTGGTGTCTTTTTTTCTCTAGCCGGCCGGCCTACCCTCCGAACCCACGCATCCCGATTTCGATATTCGAGCCGAGCACGATGGATTCCAATGCGACGACCTTCACTTCGGTGTTGGCCAATGCCAAGCTTGGCAATGTCAACATCCCCCCTCACGTCGACTATGTGATCGAGAAAGTGGCCAACGCCAGCATTGTGACGATTCTCTTCACGCTGCTGGCCCTCGCCGTCGCATATGACCAAGGTAAGTGATGCGTGTAGGAGTGGCCTCGGAGATGGAGTAAATCTGACACTCCATAGTCAGCTACATCACTTCCAAGGGCTCCATTGCCGGACCTACCTTCAAGATGCCCTTCATTGGCCCCTTTTTGGAGTCTGTGAACCCCAAATTCTCCGAGTACAAGGCCAAGTGGGCAAGCGGCCCTCTTAGCTGTGTTTCCGTCTTCCACAAGTGAGTGACCTCCCGTGTATATACCTCTAAGTGACATGGTGTCTGACATTCGCAGGTTCGTTGTCATTGCCTCAACCCGTGACATGGCCCGCAAAGTCTTCAACTCGCCTGGCTATGTCAAGCCTTGTGTTGTTGATGTTGCCCACAAGCTTCTCGGCCCCACGAACTGGGTGTTCCTCGACGGCAAGCCGCATGTCGATTTCCGCAAGGGTCTCAACGGCCTCTTCACCCGCCAGGCCTTGGCCTCTTACCTGCCCGGCCAGGAGGCAGTATACAAGCAGTACTTCCAGGAGTTCCTCCAGATCACACAGGACGCCGGCGGCGAGGCCCGTCCCTTCATGCCTGCTTTCCGCGACGTCATGACCGCTGTTTCGTGTCGCACTTTTGTCGGCTACTACATCTCCGACGAGGCCGTTCGCAAGATTTCCACCGACTACTTTCTCATAACCGAGGCTCTTGAGCTTGTCAACTTCCCCGTCATCTTGCCCTTCACCAAGCCCTGGTACGGAAAGAAGGCATCTGATATGGTCATTAGTGAATTTGCCAAGTGCTCTGCCAAGAGCAAGGTTCGTATGGCTGCCGGAGGTGAGGTGACCTGCATCATGGACGCCTGGGTCAAGTCCATCCTCGAGTCGAAGAAGTGGCGCGAGGCGGAGGCCGCTGGCTCGACTGAGGGTCTCGAGAAGCCCCACCCTCTTCTTCGCGAGTTCTCCGATTATGAGATCGCCCAGACCGTTTTCACCTTCCTCTTCGCTTCCCAGGATGCCACCAGCAGTGCTGCCACTTGGCTCTTCCAGACCATGGCTCAGCGCCCCGATATTCTCGACCGCGTCCGCGAAGAGAACATCAAGGTTCGCAACGGTAACCGCCATGCCGAGTTGGACATGGACCAGCTTGAGTCCCTGACCTACACCCGTGCCGTCGTCCGCGAGTTGCTTCGCTACCGCCCTCCCGTTCTCATGGTGCCCTACGTCGTTAAGAAGCCTTTCCCCATCACCCCCGAGTATACTGTTCCCAAGGGTAAGCGTTATATTGCCGTTTAGTTGTTTGAGTGATTGCTGACTTGGATCAGGCGCAATGGTTATCCCTACCGTCTACCCTGCGCTCCGTGACCCTGAGGTTTACGACCGCCCCGACGAGTTCGACCCCGAGCGCTACTACACCGGCGATGCAGAGGAGAAGGGCGCCAAGAACTTCCTCGTCTTCGGAACCGGCCCCCACTACTGTATCGGCCAGACCTACGCTCAGCTGAACTTGGCCCTGATGATTGGCAAAGCCTCCGTCATGTTGGACTGGGTGCACCACCCCACGCCCAAGTCTGAGGAGATCAAGGTGTTTGCTACCATCTTCCCTATGGTATGTTTGAAGTTGTGCCGCGAAAAGAAAGTGAGGAATAGAATACTGACAGACGCAGGACGACTGCCCTCTTACATTCAAGGAGCGCACGGCATAGAATCTCTTATACCTCTTTTCATAGGTTATGGGCTGGCAGTGATTTCGCCCAATGAATAAACTGGGGCCGGCTGGTGCTGCAAGATGGCCGCTAGCGCGCCTTTGCATATGTCAGACGCCACTTAAGTCGCCTGTCGGATCGGAACGGGAGGCTCGTAAATCTCGAGTCGAGACTGGTTAACGCCAGACCACTAGACTAAAACTTGTAATAAATATTTATGTGTACATAATTTTCAGGAGAATGGTCCTAAAAAAGCGGGCGATACCGCGGACTTAGGTTGTCTGGGGATTCTGATCCCGTGACGAGGATATTGGGTAAACGGTCGATCTGAATGATGCTGGGAGACGATAGACTTAGTTTATAGCCAATGGTAAAGTATTCAATTCCATGGTGAAGCTACGTGATGCTGAGAATAAGACGTACCTCAGTAGAGATGGTGAATCCGTCCAACAGAAATCCCATGCAATTGATTGCGACATGTGTTGATGCGAGAGGCGTCTGAGGGCCACAGAGGACGTGGGTACCTTATGCAGGCCATTGTAAGTAAAGGTACGTGTCCAATCTTCCTTTCTATTCAGATGGAGAACATGTCAAAGAACTCCATCTTGAGATCAGCGAAGTATAACGGGGTGGTAATGAATGCCATTGGATGTAATCACAGCTGTTCCGAGCGATTTCACACCCAATCGAGCAGCTCAGCAGCGTGAAACCCGAGTAGGTGGCATCAGTGGAGACCGGCAGAGCTCCAGGGGCCAGAGGACACTGTCAGCACTCCATGTCATCAATGCAGGTCCCTGGCCCGCCCCGCCGTCCTGTGGCCGAAATCCGCTGAAGCTTCCACCCGTCGATCCATCTCAATCAGATTAAAGCTCCCGTCCAGCTCCCGCCCAACCACCCACAAAGCGTGTGAGCCACTCCCGTCACCGACACCTTCATTCGCTTCGACTGTGCAGACAATCCAGTGAATCAGCTAATCTTATTTATTGTCCCGAAGAGGCAAAGGAAAGCAGAAATGGCCTCTACAACAAGGGCATGCGCCAACGCTCTCCGCGCGAGCACCCGCCTGGGTGCCGCCACCCCCCCCTCCGTCCCGACCGCGGCCACGAGACGGTGCTTTGTCGTGGCAGCGACGTCGACCTCTAGGCTAGGGAGATCCTTGACTCGGGATACGGCGAATACAACGGCCGCTTCCAACGTCCGCTTGGGTACTGCCACGGCAGCGACGACAACCCGGAAGACGGCTGCCGCGGTACGGTTCTTCTCCTCGGTGAGGGTGGGGAACGACTACCATAAGATTGCGGGGAACGGGAGCAAGCTCTGGAACTTTGAGCAGATGTCGGAGTTGGCAAAGAACCCCGGAAACGTCGTCATCGTCGGTACGTCTATCTACACATTTCTTGTGCCTTGAACATCCACTCGAGTAATTCCTTATAAACATAAGTTTTTGCTGATGTTTGGTTTTTGGCACCGGTCCAGACGCCCGCGAGCCAGAGGAACTCGTAGAGACGGGCCGCATCCCGACGGCAATCAACATTCCCGTCGCCACGACGCCCGAGAGCTTCTTCATCACCGACGATGAGTTCGAGGACCGGTACGGATACCCGCGCCCCGGAAAGGACACGGAGCTGGTGTTTTACTGCAAGGCCGGCGTGCGGAGCCGGGCACTGGCGACGCTGGCAATGGAAGCCGGTTGGACCAAAGTCGGGGAGTACCCTGGCAGCTTCTTGGACTGGGCTAAGAAGGGCGGTGAGGTTGAGAGGGGTGGGGAGGTCGAGAGGGGTGGCAAGAGTCCTTGGCAGGAGTAAAAAGTTTGACCATGCGGGATGATGGCGGATGGCAGCTATACAAAGGGATATATACAGCTTTTGAGGCGGATGCGGCATGGCACGGGACGGCACGGGAAAGATAGACAGCGACTTTGATCATGATATTCGTTGTACAGTAATGGTTCATGAAACCCTACGCTCCGGGCGGATGGCACAGCATTTCCGGTTCCAAAGTAGACAAATTCAAGTATGAGCTCCTTTTCGCAGCACGTTCTTCTATGAAAACCCTCCGAGGGCCTCGAGTGGTGATATAGCGAAACAGTAAATCAAAAGGTGGGAGGCGCTCCCTCGGCAGGGGGGCTAGCGGGCGCAGCGGGCGGTGCCGCCGGGTCCTTGCTCGCAACGGGGCTACCGTGGGCGAAGAAGAGGATCTTGATGGCGAGCGAAAGGCCGAGGTGGAGGGCGACGACGACAACAAGGAGGATCTTGCTCGTCTGGTGATCGGTGGCGCTGAGGACGGGGTACAGATTGCGGAGGAGGAAGGCGACGGAGAGACCGCAGCCGACGGCGACAAAGACCCAGTTGAGTATGTTGATGGGAGACCAGCTGATGAGGGCTACGGGTATCCAGATGAGGTTGGCGTAGCCGTAGAGGGCCCACTGTTCGAGGAGGTTGGCGGACTCTGAGCCGAAGTAGCGCAGGGCGAGATAGAGAGCGACGGGGACGAAGAGCGTGTAGCCGTAGATCAAACCGGCGGCGCCTGTGGGAACGACTATGTCAGCGATCATCGCAGATATTGGTTAATAATCAAGAGTCCTACCACTCAGAAGCTTGAAGTCGTAGGCAAACGGGCCTGACCCTGTGCTCGCGAGGTACTGGCTGATGGTACCGCCGAGGAAGAGGATCAGGACCACTGTCGTGGCGATCCAGAAAGGGCCGTAAAGGTCGGGGTTTCCCTCCAGAACGTCGAGGAAATTGGCGCGCGGGTAGAGCGCAGCCCAGCAGCGAGAGAGAACGGCGGAGGTATCAACGTCAAAGTACTGAGCGTAGAAGTTGATGCTCCAGAGGAAACGCTTCGAGGACCCCGACGACGCTGTCGCGGGTGGCGGGAGGCCCGATGCGGGCGCCTTGCGAGTCCCCGGCGTCGTGTCCTGGAAGTTGGAGCTGTGAAATTCGAGATCGTCTTGGAGGTCGGTGTGACCGAGGTCGCCCTGCGAAGGAACTGCGTTTAGTTTTGGGAGTTCGCGAAGGAAACCTAGGGGAAGGGAGCTCTCACCTCGTCGTCGACATCCACGACGGCGTCGTATCCTGACCCAGACCGTGACATGATTAGTTATCGAAGCGTAGATAAAGTTGCCCTTGACTATCTGCCTTTACTACCCGTCGGAATGCAGCTCTGGCCTGCTGGGTGGTCGTCGTTGGTAATCGGGAAGCCAGGTAAGTTGATGCGGCCGGTACGTGTTTAGTGTACCTGGAGCTTTGGACAAGGTGTCGTAATCCCACATATGCAGTTTGGCCCTGCAAGCTCCCTGGTAAATAAATCTCCACTAACGCATGCCCCCCCTGTCAGAGCCATAACAGTATTGCACTAATGCCGGACAAGTGGACGTCACAATTTTATGCAGCACAAACCAGTGTCCGTATGCGCCTCAGAAGAATTCCAGTGCGGTAGATTATTTTGATGCCATCTGATGAGATCGCAATCACGATGTTCACATGTATGACGTGCACCACCAAACTGAACAGCATATGGGTCTGAGGCTCTGTATTTCGTTACTGTGCTGATTTTCCACTGTAGTCAATGGAGCATTGTGAGGCAGGTCAGTCGCCATCCTGCATCCATCATAGTACGTCTCTCATGCTCGTTAGCATCTCCATGCTGCACTCAGGACGCCTAGGCGCGCTCTCTTTCGCCAAACGATCTTCTCTCAGCCTCCAAACATCATGCGAGATGTACGACAGACATGACGGGGTAGTCCGGGTTGTGTTTCCTTGGACAGTTTGAGGTAGGAGGGCGACCAATTCAGTTTTTATTCGACGAACTGCTTGCCGATGGAAAGTAATGCTACCACAAAGCCCAGGAAAATTCGTATCCCTGCCATCCTCTCCAGAATGCCAGAACCCGTGACGCCGCAACCGTGATAAATCGTCTATTTGAGCTTCTTCTTGGGGCGGAGCTGGTTGGTGTGACCGCACTTGCGCTTGCGGCAGTTGGTCGCACGGGGGGGAAGACGAGCCTGTATGGTTTTGTGTTAGGTTTGCTTGGGTCGGTCGCGCGGCCGACCTCGGTAGGCGGGGAATGAGAGAAAGGCCACTTACGTAGCACTTGCGGCAGATCATCTTGTCGCAGTTGAACTTGGAGGCAAGGGCCTTGAGCGAGGGCTCGATGATTCCACCACGGAGGCGGAGGACCAGGTGGAGGGTGGACTCCTGCTCGGCGTGTCAGCTTCCATATCTCTTCCGCCACGTCTTCTTCATTATCCTCAACGACCCATATGCCCTTCTCTCCCTCTATGTAGGTGCCCAGCGCAGGTAGACTAACCTTCTGGATGTTGTAATCGGAGAGGGTGCGGCCGTCCTCAAGCTGCTTGCCAGCGAAGATCAAGCGCTGTTGGTCCGGGGGAATGCCCTCCTTGTCCTGGATCTTGGACTTGACATTGTCGATCGTGTCCGAGGACTCGACCTCAAGGGTAATGGTCTTACCCGTCAGGGTCTTCACGAAACTGTAACCATCATCGTCAGTAACTCGGTGTCTTCGGACTTCGTCGTCGCATGGGTAGAGAATTTGCTGAGCGCGGGTTCGGGCGGAAGGATGTTCGGGGTTGGCTCACATCTGCACTACACGCAAAATATAGTTAGCATCGCTATAATCAACGACCAAAGCAGCGGCGCGCAGCACTACGCTGTCTCGCCGACCAGGAGGCTCTCATCACTTACTCTTGCCGACGTTCGTGAACTGGCTGTTGTTACCGAGAAAGTTCTGGTGATCGCGGCAAATAATTGGTGGGGCGGGCTTGAGAATGAGTGTTGAGGTTGCGGCGCGAGCAACCGACAAGCCCTAATTAGGGCACGCGGGTAGAGACTTGGTCCGAGCGCAAGAAGTAGGTGCTGAAGTGGACAGGCTGGAAAGGGCACCCTGTGGGAATTATGGGTCTGCCCAGTGTCACCCATCATCGTTGGGTTGCGATGACTTCACGGTCGAAGTTCTCAATTCAGATGTTCTGCTACCTCGCATTTCGTTGCCCTGGGTTGAGGCGTCCACTGATGGATAGGGACTGCGGTCCAATATATTCCGTAATACTAAGTAAAGCAATGAAGAGACACACAATTAGATCTCGCACCGGGTGAAGACTTCTATTTTGGGGGTATCTCAACGCTGATAATTCCAATTCATGGCACACGCACTTGTTAATGTGCTGAGAACGCTTACATGTTCACTAACCCCGGACTCTGCAGATGGACACGCCATAAACCGTGGTCGCCTACCTGCACACCGCGCATTAATCAGTGTACGTTGCTGGCTGCTCAGTATCCGACTCCATGTTCACAAAAGACCGCGATCGCTCGCGTCTTTCGCTGGCTGCCCTGCGTTGCTCCTTTTGCCAGGTCACAATGTGGCCCTCGAGCATGTTTACGGCTCGCATCAGCATAGGAACGGACAGCCCTGCCAGCCGCGCCGCGAGTTGGAAGAAGTCTCTGCCTATTGGAGGTAGATCTTCCTCAGATTTATACGAGTGATATCGACTTATTCGCAAGCTTTCCTCCCCTTGACTGTCTTGTTCATCCGGGTCGGCGAACGACGCAGCCTGTTTTTGAATAGCGCGCAGCCTGACGATCATCTCATCTCCTGTTGTCTCGGACACTGTCTGCCTGTAAACTTGCTCATCTACAGGGAAGTATCTCGCGAGTAGCGTCTCTTCGGCTAAGTCGTTGTCAGTCACCAGATTCAGCTGACTGGATCAGATCACGACTTACTTTGCGCTTCAGTAAGCAGTGATAGATGTGCAAAGTACTCGTCTAGCTCTTTCGGGCCCATCGATGTAATTTCGGACGCCGTGATATCTGTGTAGTTAACGGTAGACGTAGCTTCATCTGCAGCCAAGGCCGGTTTCATTATCCTTTTCCACTCTTTCCAGTCGAGCTTAGGCACGATAAAGTTGTTCTCGTCTTGGGGAGCTGGCATGCTGTCCTCGAACGGGAAACAGTGCATGGTGGCAAGGACAAGGATGGTGACGAGGAGAACTTCTGGCTGGTTTATGAGACGGACTCGGGTCCTCTCTAGTGGAAAACTGAAGTTCAGATTGGTGATTGGCGGTACGCGGCGCGCGATTGCTACCGTCTCAACTGGGAGTTATCAGTCTAGGCCATCTTTTGACCAAGCTGTAGGACTCACCAGGCAAGCCCAATTCTCGGACGTACTGCAATGTCATCAGGACATCGTTAAGCGGGGGAAAGATAATGCTGTGATTGAGATGATACGACAAGGCCAAATTCATGACTGAAGCGTGCAGTTCCCCATTGCCGAACGCGGCCCGGTTTGCTGATTTGAGTGGTATTGTGTACCAAGTTGGCAGCCTATCACGCATCTCCTGAGGCAACTGGCGATACTGTGACTGGTCAGAGAATATCCGAAAATGGTTGAACGTTGTACCAACAGCTTCTTTGTAGGGGATGCTTCCCCCTCTCGCCCAATTGCACAGATCGCCAATGCGCGTGGGTATCCTTAGCAGCATGCACCCGAGGAAGCAGAGGCCCAAGGTGTCGATCACCCGGGGTGCCGGCCATTCGCTCCCATTCTCTGCGGTCCAGCTCTGTGCTCGTCTGTTCCGAGACTGGTGGTGCTCATCCTGACCAAGGTCGAGTTGCGAGCTGAATAGCGAGGGCTCTCCTTCCGAGGCCGAGTCGTCTTGAGTGGCTGTCGCAGCTCCGCAGGTGCGGAGATCCCAAAGATCGCGGACGACCGTCTCTAGTTCTGGTTTGTGCCCCTTTGCGGTAACCAGCCACATTACCTGCTCTCTGAGAATAAGTTGCAGACACTCAAGATACAGATCTCGTGCTTGTTGACCGGAGAGCACTCGTCTGATTCGCTCCTTGGTCTGTTTCTCCTTCCGAGCCACCCGACCTTTCTGGCCAAAGTCTTCATCACCGAGGTCAAATTCAACATAGCCCTGAGGTAAAGTGTGAGATGCGGCTGATCATAGGAAGTGCAGAACGCGGCTTGGACAAACTTGAAGTTGGTGGCCTTCCTTGGCGCAGTATCTCAAGCCATTTTCGAGATACCACTTGCGAGAGCCGCAAAATTCACAGCGTTCTCCTTTTGGGAACTTATGAAGCTCCCTCTCTGGGGCCATGGTATTCTGGCTGGTATGTTGGTCGTATTTTGTCGAAAAGTTGACCCAGGTAGAGTCGTCACCGGATTGGTGAAGTTTTGGACAGTGCGCGACCTTGCCCATTTCTAGGGAAGCACCTCTGCAAGGCAGGCGGAACCTGGCAATTCGTTACATACGAGCCCCAGAATCTCTATGTCATCCTCGCACCAACGCCTCAAGGTGCTGAAGACTATTATTGAGTCGGCAAATTTCACGTTTAATAACAGCTCAGTAGCGTTGCTAGGCCGCATAATTTTACCACACTCTCAGCATCAAGACACGCTGAGCAAAAGCTTCACGTGCTACCAAAGAGTACCTGACATGGCATCCAAACGCCAAGCGAGGGGTTAGGCTTTGGTTGCAGTAGAATCATGGTCATGCACATGCACATTGAACACTTTCACGAATATGTACGTGTAGTTTGAACGAAAAACAGAGACCGCGTGGTGGAGATATGTACCGCTTTTCCATCGGACAAATCTGCTGCCACCGCGAGGCTCTCCCATTTTTTTTCACCTATCCCATTGCTAGTCTGATCGTCGTTAAGAGTCTGTGGGACAGACAAAACAAAGGAAAAAAGTCGTGCGACATGTCTTGCAGTTGTCAAGTTCGCGTACCCAGTAGCAAGTCCTGTCCAGATATAGCCTTTTACGCAACGACTGACGGGGATACCGTTAATTTCGAAGCGCCAAGAAATATCGCAAGAAATGTCCCCAGTCTGCCAACATCTGCCAGCAAGGCCGCTTGAAGTGAGCGCTTGCGGAAGTCATTGTCTGATGATATTGTAGAGTTGCAGCGCTTAACCCTGCTTGGGGGCCTCCTTGGCCTCAACGGCGGCCTCCTCACCCATGGCGGTAAGAATGACGACGTCTGTAATTCTGGGTTAGTTCTTTCCCCTCTTGTACTGCGCAATTTGCTTGTCATGAGGTTAGGAAGGCTTACTGGTGTCCTTCTCGTCAATCTTGAACAGCTTGTTGATCTTCTCACCAACCTCGCCGTCGGGAAGACGGACATCGTCCTTGAGGTCACCGTCGTCGTTCATGAGGGAAAGGAAGCCATCGTCGGAGATATCGATCTAATGGCGGTGTCTGTTAGCATGGGTGGACCATCTCCGGACTGAGAAACGCCCGTTGCAACTTACGAGCTGGAACTCCTTGCGGGAGACGTTGGGGACATCCATGTTGTGGGTGGAGGGGGAAAGATCCTCAAGCTTCTTGCCGGTGAAGATGTCAATGGCGACCAAGTGAACCTTGGCGTGACCGTGCTTGCCAGTCTTGGAGGTAGACATGTCGACGATCTTGCAGGGGCGGCCCTTGATGACGACGTGACCGTTCTTGCGCAGAGCAGAGCACTGCATGGGGAAGGTGAGAGACGCACCGGCGTCGGTGGACTCGAAGGTCATCTCATGCTGTTAGGGAAGATGCGTCAGCGACATGACCAACACAAGATACGGACGTTGTTCGGCTTGATGAAGGCGGGAGGATCGGATCGAAATTGGTGTAGTATTTGATGCTCGTATGCGTCGTGTGCTGCGTGAGTTCTGTGTAGAGCCGTGGTGCTCTGAAGCACCCGCGGGGCTTTCTCGCCAATGTGGATGCGGGGTGGTCGATTTTCGCCAAAGTAACGGGCATCGATCGCGCATTCGACCACCACCAAAAAGAGAAAGTGCACGAAAGGGAATGGAGCTGTCGCAAAGGACTCACCTGGGCGTCGTCGTTGGACATTTTGAAGGATTGACTGGAAGATGTCTAAAATATCGAAGGGAAGATATCGACAGGCGGAATTACCCAGCAAAAGACGGCTGATATTTTTTTTTGGAGGGGGAGAGTTGTGAAAGGAAGAGAGCGGGCAGAGGGGGGAAATGGAGGGGGAAAAAAGGAAGGCGAGGCGGGAGTAGATAATTTTTTTCCTGGTTTTATTATTGGTTTTTTTCACTCCTAGGCCCAGATTCGCGCCCCTCTCTCTGTCCGTGGCCTCTCAGGCGTTGTGTGGGACAGCTGCAGGGAGCACTTTCGCAGTGAAAAAAAGGTGGAGTGTGGGTTTTTTTCCTTCTTTTTCGCAGATTGGATCTGCCAGACCCCTCCCCGAGTGACATTGTCGCCGGTGGATAACTCTATGGTGAACAAAGTATCCATCTCGGTTCTACCGCCTGCCACGCCGGAGGCACCTCACCGCAGGAGCTGGAGCTCCTTTCCCGCAACATGCAACACCTACCTACTCGATCTTTAGGCCGCTGACCGCCTGTGAAATGCCCTACCTTATCCCGTCAGATCAGGCCGGCGGGAGTGCCAGTGGTTGAAGGTTTCCCTTTCGTCCCCAGCGACTCAATCAGTCGAAATGACCTCCCCTTCGCAGGGCTCCCGGAAGGACAATGAAGCACACCAGGCATACTACATAGTAGTTCACCGTCCTGTGGCAACAACCTTTTTTTCGGCGCTAATACCGCCATGCCAAAACCTCGCTCGGCCAGTGACCCTGGCTTGCCTACCTTCCATCGTCGTTCACCTCCGATTGCCTTATTGCTTTGGCAATGGAAAAAGTCCCGACATCGAGTATAGACTTGTACAGTATGGACTGGAATTCCTGTCGACTTGCAGCCTGTCGTTCTTGAATACCTGACCGCTTACCTGACTAAGGTAGACAATTTAGAAACCTCCAGAAATACCATTGCCCGGGCATTGTGGTAGGTACTTCCTTTCCCTTTTTCTGTTTGTAATGCGCAGGCCAACCATCCTCCGTGAGGTATGCGCACCTATTTGCGCCCAGAAAATATGTCTTCACATTGCAACATGCAGGAGCTTCCCTCCGAGACAGTTCCAGCAGTCCGAGCTACGGTTACCTTGGAGATGTCGCGGATTCTGCACGACATGTGGGCAGCCTCTCTCCCATCCATGCCTGACGCATCAATGGGCCGTTGAGTGCTCTTCAATTGCCTATCCCAAATCCTGCCCCGCACGTTTCTAGGTTGTTTGCCGCCGGCCCTCACTCATAATGCTGCCCCGCACTTTTCAGTCTTCGACCCCTCGAAGACAAAGGGCCCGACCCCTGCCGCGCCACAGGGAGCTCCCGTGGGTACGTATTTTGTGGCTAGTGCTTGTTAGTGATCGCTCTCCAATGAGAACACATCGCTCTCCTAAGGCCGTCCAGCCTTGTCTACTGGCTGGGGTAAGGTCCCTTGACCAAATGCCACAGGTGTACCTACATCTTTCCAATAAGCCAGACGCTGATCCCTCAATTATACATCACCTGTGTGATTTGCGAACCCTCGATGACATGGTGCTCCGTCACGCCGACCAAATCGCTCCTTAGCCTCTACATACCACAAGTCCACCATGTGGCTTGATCGGCTTGCAGCGCAGTCGAACCAGTCTCCCTCATCGTCGCAACCCGGCAGTCGACCTTACTCTCCTCTCCCGCGACGAACTTCCAGCAGCCCCTATGTAACCTCGCAACGACCTGGCATCACGCCAAGAGGCTCACAACTTTCCCTCGTGTCCAACGATTCCTCGAGCTCCTTCCTAGCTTCACGCAGAGCCAATGGCTCCGGCTTGAAACAGTCCCAGACCACTTACGACGGACCGGATTCAGTCGAGATCTTGGGCCAGATCCTAGATGGAACACCTCTAGCCGAGAGAACAACAGCCACGATAACCGAGAATGACCTAGAACTGGAATTCCAATTTGAAGGCCTGAGCTTGCGAGAGCTGGCAAGCTCCGGTGAGATTGACGATAATGACACGGATAGCTACCGACGGCAAACCGCAGAGGAATGTATGAGCTACCTATTGGCTGACCTCACTGTTCGCAGACTGCTAACTTCTTAATTCAGTTGAAGCGAATAAATTCCAATTCGAGGACCTGCACCGATCAATTGCAGCCTGTGATGGGGTTCTAGGCTCTGTGGAGACCAACCTGACAAGTTTCCGTAACGACCTCGCAGCCGTCTCCGCTGATATCGAAAGCCTGCAATCACGTTCAGCGGCGATGAACGTGAGATTGGACAATCGAAAAGCAGTTGAAAAAGCTTTTGGTCCAGTTGTTGAGGAGCTCAGCGTCTCCCCTCATGTGGTATCCAAGATATCCGAGGGTCAAATCGACGAGACGTGGGTGAGGATGCTGGCGGAGGTGGACAAGCGCGCTACAGCATACAAAAAGTCGATTTTAAGCCAGGGAGAGAGCAAAGCTTGGGCAGACCTTGGTCCTTTGCTGGAGAAGCTAACAATGAAGGCCGTCGAGCGGATACGGGACTTCATTGTCGCCCAGATCAAGGCCTTACGATCTCCTCACATCAACGCTCAAATCATCCAACAGCAGAACTTCTTGAAGTTCAAAGACTTATACACCTTTCTGCACAAGCATCATGCCACGCTTGCGGAAGAGATTAGCCAGGCTTACATGAACACCATGCGATGGTACTACGCAAATCAATTCGCACGATATCAAAGGGCCTTGGAAAAGCTCAAACTGCACATACTCGATAAAAACGATGTTCTTGGACACGACGAACCTACTCGGAGAACTACGGTGTTGTCCGCCACAAAACCAGCCGGGCCGCCTCACGATGCCTTCAACTTGGGACGGCGTATCGATCTCCTGAAGTCGGGTAACGCTGCCGCGATGTCCTCCTACCTGGCCGAGGAAGACCAAACCACACATTACTTGGAGGTGCCTTTTAGAAATTTCAACTTGGCACTGATAGACAATGCCACCGCAGAGTACACATTCTTGGCCGCCTTCTTTTCTCCGCCGTTGTCTCTGCAAGCGGTATCACGACAGTTCAACTACATCTTCGAACCAACTTTTGCATTGGGCAAAAACCTGACTAGGACACTCACCGCCGAGTCATACGACGCGCTAGGATTACTATTGAGCATCCGCATTAATCAGCATCTCGCTTTTGAATTACAGAGACGCAAGGTGCCGGCCGTTGACGGCTATATCAACATGACGACAATGCTTCTATGGCCGAGACTGCAAGTCGTCATGGATCACCACTGTGAATCGTTACGGCAGCTGATGAACACTCTGCCCACGAAACCCAGGGCAGCGGACCAGAACAAACTATCCGCGGCGCCGCATCTTGTCACGCAGAGGTTCGGCCAGATCTTACAGGGTGTTCTGGCGCTTAGCACAGAGGCAGGAGACGACGAGCCGGTGGTGACCAGCTTACGTCGTCTGCGGTCCGAGGCAGAGGCTTTCCTGACGCGGTATAGCCAGTCCTTCAGCGATAAGCGGAAGCGGGAAAGGTTTCTCTATAACAACTACTCGTTGATTTCGACCATTATCAGCGACGTTGGCGGAAAATTGGGCACGGAGCAGCAGGAGCATTTTGAGGGCCTCAAAGCGGCATTCCAGGAGGGTGCTTGAGAGCGCAGCATCAGACACACAGCAATTTGTTGGATTATTTTGGTATTGGCGCAACATCAGGGTCCTTGACTGCCAGTGGCACATCACTTGTATGGTAGCCGTTTTACTCCACTTGGAGAACCTAAATGTACATGACGAGACAGTATTTTTTATGTTTTGAGTAGTTACAGGACCTTCCAGTCCTGACTGACTAAAAGTTATGCGTCCAGCTCGTTCCATTTGCCCATTTGGTATACAAAGCTGCCATTGCAGCTATGGGACTGGGGTTCCTTCTTCCGAGGTATACAGCCACTAGACCGATGACGACGGCCAGTCCGGTAGCGGCAGTCCCCTTTCTGTACGCCCACAGCACCTTCATGATCTTTTGCCGGCGCTCCAGGGCCTTGAGCTCTGCCAGTTGTTTCTGAAAATATGTGTATCCTTCGTCCATCGTCTGCTTTGAGCAGTCCTCCACGCATCGCGCCGTCCGCAAGGAGCTGGCTTTGGATATCTTGCGCCATTGCGGCAGCGATTCGGGTGGGTATCTCTCGTAGAGCGCAATCGTACTCGTAATCAGCGCGTCGAGGTCCATCTTTTGCGGCACCTTGGACAGGATGAGGTGGAGCATGGACGGGTCGTCCTCCTCCTGGTCAAAGAGCTCGTCGCGGCGGTTCAGGACGATCTGGACGTACATGTAGATACTGAAGACGGGCTCGCGGGTGAGGAGGGTGTCGAATAGGCGGGCAATGTCGCCATAGGCCTGGATGTCGTGCGCGTACATGGTCAGGGTCCCCGCCAGGGCGTAGAAGGGCTCCGTGCCGGAGAGGTGGCGCTTGAGCTTCGGGTCGGCGGCGTTGAGAATATCAGGGATCAGCCTGAGCTGCGCGACGGTCGGTTCGAGGCTGGTGAGCATGAAGTCTCGTATGCGGAGCACTGAGAGGCGCGAGACTAGCCGAGCGCGCCATGGTGGTTCGAGGACCAGCATGAAGACTTGGCAGATGTCATGGTAGCCTTGGAAGTAGCATAGGTATGGGTATCGGCGGAGGACTTCGACAATGAGATCGGACAGCTCGCCTTTGTTCTTCTCGAGTTCGGTGTCGTTTTGGTCTAAATGATTCGTCAGCTTGCCGGTCGCGAGTTTGCAAGCCCCATATCGGGACATATGGCAGGGGAAGATCGATCTCACGATTCGGGTAGTAGATGAAGGCGCGGTTGACGTCGAGCGCAACTTGTTCCTCGTCTCTATGAGATGGTAGACTTTTCCAGGAGACCTTCTCATCTATACCAGCTGCGATTGTATCCTGGAAACTCTCGCTATCTGGGAGACCTAGGAGAATCGGCCCTGTCACCCATAATCTTCTCGTTAGCCTTGGAGCGTCGCAGGACGACGGCGCCGTGGTTGGCACGTTTGCTACTGACAGGCTTTTCGACGTAGGGTGTCGGTCAGAAATCCGCCTCTGGTACTAGCTAGGCTTTTGAGGGCCTCAATGTTCCGCCACTTGCACGCCTCAAGGATATCGTCCGTCTTGCGCTGTTCCTGGCCTATGGGAGCTGCAGAGTCACGGCTGCTGGGAGCATTCTTGTCGACTACCGAGTTCGTTTCCATGACTCCGTTGCGGCAGCGGGCAATGTTGCGTCACGAAGGGTCGAGGGAGTCGAGGGGTGTGCTCGTTACGGGAGCGTGCGCATCGTGTGGCTGTGAACTCGGGGGAGGTTAAGCGCGCGTGTCGGTGCCGTCTGGCGTTGCGGACATAGGTTTGAGAAAGCGTTGAGGAAGCGCGTGAAATCTCGAGTGATGGACTAGATTTGGGACACACGCCTTCAACGTTTGAAGCTCAGGTGGAAGTGGGATGCATTACACACATTCCTCGACCTGCCAGCGAACGACTTGTCGTTGAGGTGGTTGCAGGAACAAGGAAGCTGGAGGCCCAAGAGCTGCCACAACCTAAGGTAAGGTAAGTGACAACCTAAGCCTGTAATAGCGGAGTCTCCTCCACAGCGGATCTATGGATCTGTTTCGAACCATTGAGGCCGATGCTTAGCGTACATTTAGAGCAACTCGCAAGGGACGCCCGGGCCCATGGCCTGGATCGCCGGGACGGGACGCACAGGCCAGTCTCGATAAGGCGAACCTGAGCCATGAATGTCACTCAACCTCCTGTACCTTGGCATTCGGTATCACGCTGCCCAGCCAGCCTCTTCGCCAAAGCCAGGCGGAACATTCGGGCCGATGGAGATTGGGGAGATCATGGACGAGGCACCGTTCCAAAACCAAATTCATCTGCTTGAGCGCTTACTTAACGGCCGGCATCGACTGCATCGCATGGGGCTTTGCGCACCATGCAGGTAACGCTCTACCTATTGCGGGCAAGTCGCTCGAGTACCACCCCAAATCGACCCGAGAGACAGGCTCATCAAGCTGGTACGAAGGCCCAAGACGTTTTCCGAGACTGACAGGCTGGATAGCCCAATTTGAGGAGTTGAACGTGATAGATTTGAAAAAAGTTGTTTGGCGCTTCGTGCGCTGATGACTCCAGGTATCCGTAAGGTACCTTAAATATGGCTCGGACAGAGGAGCTTCATTTGGCCTATCAAACCCGCAGTAGCATATCCCAAGCCACTCCCGCTCTACTCAAAGAAGGCACCCCGAGGTGAATAACGGTCATTAGAGCGATCCTAGTCTCTGAAGATCCATGCGTTGCCGGCCACCGGATCACAGTCATCGTCCTGAGCCCTGCAGCTCGACTCAGCCATTGTCTAGCCGAGACAGCCCAAGCCAGACATGCAGATGGGGGTCTCGGTAAATTGAGTACGTAAGGGCGATCTTTGTTTGTAGGAGCGATGTAAGTGCTATTAGTCGTCACTCGAGTGTCTTGTTGGTTGTGCTGCGGCCGAAGCGACCACCCCTCTTGACTCATTGTGGTTGATGAGTTAATACCATGGGGGGCCAACAGGGTTTGATTCTGGCGAAAGAGAGGCCGTGGTCATCCAATGCATGAACGCGATCCTTTTTCAGGTGAGGGACTCTTGTTAGAATTCTGGGATAAGTCGGCAGCTTCTAAGGTTCATGAGATGATTATGAAATAGCCCTCGAGTAAGACAGTTCAATTAGTGTTGGGCATTAATGTCGATAGGAGGAAATCGCTTCACGTGTTCGTATCGTCTGAGGAATCGAATCTGCCTGACGCGTCATTTTCGTACTTGAAATATATGAGACGCGGATCACATTCAAAAGATGATTTGACGTCCTGGCACATTAGGTCAAGGCTGTGCCCCTGCTTTTCTGGAGTATTCCAGACCCACACAGGAGCCTTGGTCCCTGAAGGTATAACCGGCCCGCGCCTGTTTTTCCACCAGAGTGCCTGGTTACGATGGAATTGATCTTCAATTCCTTCTCCACCAAATGTCCCGGTGAACGACGTGCGACTGATTTAGGTTCTCTGGAAGAATATTGGTGCGTAGGTACATATATAGGGCGGGCGGTAGAGAAACACCAGCATGACCGTATTCCCATGACTTATGTCAAACAGTGCCGAGGGAAACGACGGGTATGCCAAAGTAGGCTCGGCCAAGACATTGGAGGCGAGGAGGGACAGTAAAGGGTCAGCACTGAGCAGAGTTATTTCCCAAGCCCGCCGCGGAAATGGCTGGCTGCGCATCTTGCGACCCGGCGACGCAGCTGTCGTAGGGTATGGAAATCCTCGGTGGTTGGGGTAGGTAACCGTGTATTGGACTTACACCCACACGAATGGAAGAAAGACATCCAATTATATTTATACCTAAGGGCAAGCAATGGTTTCAGCTGAGTAGGGCAGCAAGGTCTGAAGGAAGGGCCATTCATCTGCCCAATCAGCAAGAGCCGGCGGCTCATTCCAGCTTTCTTCTTTTCGCGCCGAGACCTGCCCTCCAACTGTAAGCACGTAGGGTAGGGTAGAGTACGTCGCTGGCACGATCATGTACGTAGATAGAGAGGCCTAGACTGCCTTTCCGTGATTACCTCAGTGTCAAGCCAACCTCATCCTAGTATTGAATATTGGATGTCGGGTGGCAAGATGGGACGGCGGCGGGGGATGAACTCGGTTTCTTTAGCGGCCGTCAGTGCCATCCGGTCCCCAGCATTCCCTCTGACTTGTACATCCCGCACACCATGACCTCACCTAGCAAAGCACCTCGGCACCTTTGGTCAGTGAGGGTTCTTTCACAGACGAAGACTCTCGAGGCAACCTGGCCCAAGTCCCCGCTTGGCCAGGGTTGTCTGCCTATGGCTTGACTGCCCGCCTGGGCAAGGAACACGATGGATACCTCGCCCATGCACGAAGCTTCAGCAAGTCAGCAACGGGGGCCAACTCACCACCGACGTTCCATCGCTCTACTGACCGAAGTCCCGTCACAGTGGAGAGAATTCGGCTGAGATGCAAATTATGCGGAGTCGTCGAGACACAACCCAAGACAAATCCCAGCTACCTTGGCCGAGAACAGTATTTTCCACGAACCCAACAAGCCGCATTCTTGGGATGTTCTAGGGTTCCTACCCCACTTGGGACAGTGAAAAGGGCACGAGATGAATCAGGGTCCAGCGCGCCAACGCCAACAGATGGAGTTCTCATAGAGCCCTACTGGAGAAACGAGGGACGACTGGAGACATCTGCCCTGCCTTCCATCATGTGGGTAAAATGGGCGGTCGATGTCGTTGGGCGATTGCAAAGGATAACTTACTTGGGTTGGCAGGGTTCTTGCTGTTTCAAACTTGCATTCTTAGTTGTACCCCAACTAAATGGAAATTGGACAGCGGAGGGAAAGCAAAGTATTGCTAACCATTGTATGATTAGGTACGGATAAGGTAGGCAGTATTATCTACCTTACCTTACGGTATAGCAGTCAACCACCTCTGCCACGGCATGTTGTTGACGCCCACTCACATGTCAGGCCGACACACGGTTTTTGATCCCAGCGTGCTGACTCTCACATCACCCACTACCTTACACAACAACGCTTACTGCACCTGCCTTACCTTACTTATGGAGCTACGTTAATAAGGCATGGTACCTTACCCAGTAGGTACGAGGTAACGAAAAAGATATCGTGAGGTGCCTTGCAGCCATTGGCTACCTTGCTTGCATGCGACTGCCTTCCGTTGGAAAGCCCTCACTTGCGACACTCACTACCACCTACGCTGGTGACTGGATCGCGCTTTCCCTCAGGTAAGCTCGTGCTCCATGCAACGTGGTGCCCCACCAGCTAGCTAACATGTATCCGTACCTCGCCTTACACCCAGTAATTACGACTGACTCTAAAACCAACCTCTGCTCCGCCCAACCGTCACAACCTGGAGCCATTCATTCCATGGCGTCGTTACCTACCTGCCTACCTGCCTCCTTGCCTCACCTTGCTCTCAAAAGTTAACGCCGACCCCGTCCCATTAACGTCGTACGGCCGGTGCTTGCCATTCCAGTAGCCCTGAATCGGAGACAAAAAAACAGGCCCTTCCTACAGTTTGATCGGTTTGGAATTTCGAATCACGCGACCCGGCAATCTGGTATCCCCGCCGCGATCCCGAAATACCTCTGTTCCGATTTCACCTCTCTCTCGGCCTTCTCTCAACCCTCTACCTCAGAAGCTCAGTTCATTGTCAAACATGTTAACATAAAAAGTCTTGTCGAAATGGCCTTCCAGACAAACGTCTTCAGAAACGGGGCCTGGGTGACGGAAACTATTGACCTGCAAACTGTTCTGAGGGGCTCAACCACAACCACCTCCGCTGTCGCCCCTTCACTCCCCGCTCCGCCAAGCTGTGGCATCTTGACAAGAACTATCATCGAAAGCCCTGTCGCGCGATGGGTCCTGCCTGCCCGTCTGAGATCTGCGCATCATAACGATGTTGCCTTTGTGGGGGTGAGTTACTCGTTCGTTGCCTTTCTGAATGTCGCCCGAAGGCCTGTATACCCGGACTCTCAAGCGCTGCAGCCCTTCTCCTCACCTATCTTCTGCCGAGTATGCAAAGAAGCTTACATACATAGGACCGTTACGTGAGCATCAAAGAGTTGCGCAAGGATGGTCAGCTTCAAGAAGTGCTTCGGAAGAATGACTTTGGCTGTCGCATCCGAAATGCCCTGGTCATTGGAAACAAGTACGAGCACTTTCGCGTTGTCGCGGACGACTCTGGCCATGATCACATAAAAAGCGAAGATGAAGACGACGACACCCACATGGCCGACTTCGGCTCTGTGTCTGGCACCAGCAGTTCTCATGGACTGTTGCCACCGCACTTATTACTTCTCATACTTGAATCTGGTTCTTTCGTCTTCCTCTTCATCAGAAGAAACTTACGAGGAATGCTAGATTTCGTCGCATCGCCGTTCCACAATTCAGTAAAGAGGCTAGGCCACCTGGGCTTTCACGTAGCTGTTGATCCTAGATCTCGCTATATCGCTGTTGCGGACGCCCAGAACAAATTTGTCGTTTACGAGCTAGAGTCCATGGAGGCCATGGGCGACCAGTACATGCGTTACACGTCCATCAAACCCATCAGGGCGCATCACCCAAGGGCAGTTCAGGGTACCATCCTCAAGATGGAATTTCTCTATCCTCGCCCTGAGGACGAGAACCACGTCATTCTCCTGCTTATCATCGCAAAGGCCGACAGGTCAAAAATGGTCATCTATGAATGGGAGCGCGGGGATGATCTTAGCCGGGTGCTGGCTGAAGAGAAGCGTGGCCATCGCATAGCGCCAGAGCATCGTCTACCACTTCTCATCATTCCTTTGACAGTGAGGAGTTCCTTTTTCGCAGTTTCCGAGCACGCTCTTGGCATATGCAAGGATCCTCTCCAGGGACCTCCTGACATCGAGACAATCAATCCAGTCAGCCATCCTGCGAGTCCTTTTCACCACGGCACCGGCGTACCCCTATGGACAGCTTGGGACAGACCGGTCCGGAGGCGGCGCTACTACGACACCAAGGATCTCATTTACTTGGCTAGAGAAGATGGTGTGATTGTCTTCTTTGAATTCAATGCGACGGATATTCTAGGCGCTGCTATGAATGTTGGCAGCTGCAACTGCAACATTTCCACCGCCTTCACCACAATGTATGACGCTTACTCCGACGTGGCCATAGTCGCCGGAGACTCTGGCCCTGGGATGGTCTTTCAGGTATGTCGCGACGCTGATTTTGTCTGTCGGGCGGCTGCTAACAGACTTGAGCAGCTCAAACCTCGGGAACCTCTCGTCGAGCTTGGGAGCATCCCAAACTGGTCATGCTCGGTTGATTTCGTCACTACGGATGCTCTGACAACTTGGGACCCTGAATTTGGTCCAAAAGGGAAGCCCATCGTGCCATGGCGAGAGAGAACGTTGGACCATTTGACAGCTCCAGACAACCTCCTCTGCGCGTCTGGGAATGGGCCGCAGGGCAGCATAACAGAGCTTCGCTACGGGCTCCCCGCTAACATCATCTCGTATTTCGAGCCGCTGCCAACGAGAAAAGTCTGGGTCTTCAGAACTGCAGACGCAAATTGGCCGTATCAAATGTTGATGGCCAGCCCCGGGACCTCCGATGTGTTGCTAGTATCAGCTGATCTCTCACACGCGGAGATGGCAGATCCAATGGCAACCCAATTTGACACAGAGTCTCGAACTCTTGCAGCGGAACAAAGCCGAGACGATACTATTACTCAGGTATCCGAGAAGCGCATCACCACCGTCGCCCGCCACCACAGGTTTGTTCCCCGAAATCAGACCTTTATGTACCACTTCGGCTGTGTTGACGTTCTCGTAGTTCAAAATTCGAACTCGGTGACTTCGAGGGCGTGAGCGGAGTGGCCGAACATGCAGCCGTCAGCGGTAGTTACATTTGCGTGTCGACCTTCGAAGAATCTCGCTTCCGAATCCACACTTTCCGCACGAAAGGCACCGAAACAACCTTGACACAAACTTATGCTGTCGACGGCGAAGTAACGTGTCTAGCTCTCTGCTCATTTGATGGAAGGGAATGTGTGTTGGCTGGTTTGTGGCGACAAAACAGCCCCTTCTTGGCCGTCTTCCCGACAGACGTTATGGGAGAGGAGCCGGAGCTGATACGGCTTGCCATTGGTACGCCAAATTCTGTGACAGCTTGTGCCGATTGATCTAACAACTTGCAACAGACGATGCTGGAATTGATGCGGAAGACATTGATGCAATGGAAGTTACCCCGACGATTGAGCTGATCACCACCATTGTGCCAGTAGCGGAATCAGCGAAGCAAACAAGTGTAGTTTTGGGGACTCGAAGTGGGCATCTGATTACAGTCCAACTCACCGGCCCCAGCCCCTTTCAGTATCACATCTTTAGGGAGAGGCTAAGCACAGTCGCGCTCGAGGTTGTACCCCTGGAAACGCCCCTACTTCCTAGCTCTGTACTGGTTTGCTGCAACGACACCCTCCTACTTCTCAGGGACTTCGAGACTAGACGGCCGGGTCATTTTGCCACAAAGCACCGTGTATGGACAACTGATCTGAAGCATCCGGCAACTCCATCGATGCCCATCATCTCTGCGACATATATTCCCACTGATTTGAGCGGCAACAATCGCGCACCGCTAGTTTTTCTGTCGGGAGAGCGCATGTCATTCGTGGAGCTGTATTTGCAAGCTGGACCGGTGCCTAAAACACTGCCACTGCCCGGAACACCTGCCAAGGTGCTGTACTCACAAATTTTACAGTGCTTGGTTGTCGCAGTGCAAATTGGCAAGCAACCAACAGTTCTTTTCATGGACCCGGATACCGGAGAAGACCTCTCTCTTCCGCAAGACAAGCATGGGAATGTGACGACATTCATTAGCGGTTTGGGAAGCCAAGACGACAAAATCCATGCAGTTTACGACTGGGTTTTTGTCAAAGACGGGATGACATTTCACTACCTCATCGTCACAACGGCAGGCGGACGCCTCTTGCTTGTGTCTCCGAAAAAGGAAGAGAGTTATGATCCTGAAGGCAACAGGAAAATCAGGGTACGGTTCTCCACCAAATACAGGATCAAGGAGAAGGCGCCCATATACTCTATTGTTGGAGATGGGGACAGCATTATCTACTGCGCTGGCAAAGTTCTTCACTGGGATGTCCTTGACTCTGTCGAAAAGAGATTGGTTCGCAAAAAAACATACGAGTTGAACTCACCCGCCATCTCACTACGGGTGGTGAACGGCAAGATCTCGGCGCTAACTTTGAGTGATTCTTTGGTGGTCATCGATCACAAGGCAGAGAACACACACGGAGAAATGACACAGATTCACGCGGATCAGGTGACGCGAAAGTCGAATCACTTCTTCGACGTCGGAGATGATGCAGACCCAGAGCTGGCCTGGCCAGTGACCCTACTGACGGGTATGGACCGGTCCTTCGCGGCAGTCTGGACTCCCTGGAAACAGTCCAAGAGAGAGCTGGAGCTCGTTGCGGAAGGACCGTTGCCGGCCAGCATCAGGAAACTTCAGCGAGGTCGGGTGCGGCCAGAGTGGGTAGCGACGGAACATGCGCCACGGTACGGCAGTATACCAAGCACAGTAGACGGTGCCGAGGTTTTGGGCATCTGCCTTGACGGATCACTGATGCACTTCAGCCTACTCAACCTTCAAGCATGGCGGTTTCTACGTCTTGTTGAGAACCTGGCGTTGAGAAGCCGACTACTGTTTCCGTACAGCTACGAAGTGTCGGTCTTGGACGACGAGGAATACGACGCGGAAGCAAAAGATATGCCAAAGTCGATGAAGCACATAAACGGGGACTTGCTCCAGCAGTGTGTTGACAAACGGGCACTTGAGAAGATCATGTCGGAGGACAGCGATATCGACCTTTTGCGGGAGTATCTGGACGACTTGGAGGATGGAAAGTGGACAGCAGCTTTTCAAGATGCTAACGACATTTCGTGTTATTTCGCTCTTGCGTATGACATTTTGGATTACTACCTTGCTCCTGTAATATGAGTAGGACGAAGGGTATGATCAGTCTTTGTCAGAGAGACTAGGCTTTCTCAGTCCAACGGAAGGAAAGCTATGAGGAGATTTGCTAGACGAAAAAGTCCTCATGGGGCTCCTCCGCGTTAAAATCCAAGTCCATTTCCTGATGCCAAGGTTGGAACATACGTGCGATTCGACGTTGTCCATGGTAAATTCTCACGAATGGCCGCCAAATCCAAAGTCAATCATCGAAAGCCGGGTTCTTGTAAATAGTGACTACCTTGTCTTGAATGAAGCCCACGGCCTTATGCGATCCGGAAACAGAATTGTGGAGACGGAGTGACTAGCTAGCATGGGTAGCTTTGGTGCGTTTAGCATGCACAACGGCGTAATATGAGTGGACGACACCTTGATGAATTTTGTTCGCACAGTGACCAAATATGTCGGATGCCCTACATTTTCTTCCACTGTGAATTGGCCTCACTTGGCCTGGAATTCAGACGAGATATCATGCTATGTCCATCGAATGGTAGCACCCCATAGAGCTCACATTACCTCACATGAGAGAGTCTTCATACACCAAGGTAGACTAGAGAGGTACGGAGTTAGTCATAGCTCTCCGAAAACCAGTCATAAAATAGTATAGAAACCGCGGGTCAAGTAAATGATGGTCCCCATTACCTCAGGTAAGGTACGAAGGTACCTGAGGCAGTAGAAATGCACCTGCACAATCTGAGGCGCCGCAAAACGACCATCTCATCCCCGGTACATAGGTATGACATCCATGGCTTTTGCCCACCACGAACTGCACCGTACGACCTGGACGTTGCCCCAAAACCCGAACTTTGCCCCGCAGTGAATTGCCCTCCAGTTTTCCCGCTCGACGTTTTGGCCAGTTCTCAACGTCCCTCGTTTTTTTTTTTTTCCCTCGTTGAAGCCAGCCAGAAAAGACGCATCGCCACGTCCGTATTATGTCGTGTCGGCCCCGACAGAATCGCATCCAGGACTCGGTTTCGCCACCTCATCTCTTGCATCGCTGAAGAGCCCTCCTTCCGCGGGCCACCACCAATCATCCCAACCCCACCCATCCTTGGGTATTTCCGTCCGTCCTGTCTAGCCGTCACCCACTGGCTGGATCGCCCACAATCGGCTACTTTTTGTTGCCTTTTCTTGTTTTATTCTGCGAACTGGACACAGTCCTCCGATAGAGACATTCCAAGTCCTATTAACGACTCCGACGTCGAATACTTCCAAGATGCCTCCCAAGAAGAAGGGCAACAAGGCTCGCGCCAACGACGACTGGGAGAATGAGCTCGGCGAGAGTATCGCTCCTGCCGCCGCCGCCCCCGAGGCTGATGCCGAAAAGCCAGCCGAGGGCGAGGAGGAAGAGGCCGTCAGTGGCCTCATGGCCACTCTGCGCAAGAATAGAGAGAAGAGAAAGAAGAAGGGCATCGAGGAACCCGTCGCCGAGCCCGAGCAGGAGGCCGCACCTTCACCCAGTCTTGCCGAGAAGGCTCCTCAAGAAGCGACCATGGACGACGAGTTCGCTTTGCCAGAGAAGAAGGGCAAGGGTGGTAAGGGAAAGCAGGCCGCTGCCGCTGCCCCAGCTGGCGATAACGATGACGACAACTCCGGCCGAGTTCTCACCAAGGCCGAGAAGGAGAAGTTGAAGAAGGAGAGGGAGAAGCAGCGCAAGAAGGAGAATGTGAGTTCACAATGGTTTGTTCTACCCATATGAACCCTCTAACCATGTCCGAAATGCATAGGCCGCCAAGAAGAAGCCTGCTACCAAGGCAGAGCCCGCCAAGGCAGCTCCCGAGAAGAGCGACTCCCCCACACCGGCCGCCGCCGCTGTCGCTCCTCCCCCGGCCGAAGAGAAGGGTGGCAAGAAGAAGAAGATCCCCGCCGCTCTGGCCGCTCTCCAGAAGCAGCAAGAAGAGCTCCGTCGCAAACAAGAAGAGGACGCTCGCTTCGCAGAAGATGAGAAGAAGAGGATCGAGGAGGAGGAGCGAGCCGCGGAAGAAGAGAACAAGCGCAGAGAGGAGGCCAAGGCGCTCAAGAAGCAAAAGGAAAAGGAGAAGATTGAGCAGCTCAAGAAGGAGGGCAAGTTCATGACCAAGGCGCAGAAGGAGGAGAAGGCCCGCAACGAGCGGAAGCTCCAGCAAATGCTTGCTGCCGGCATCAAGGTTGGGCCGGCCGAGGAGGGCGAGAAGAAGAAGGTCGTTTACGACAACAAGAAGAAGGGTGGCCGCAAGGCTCAAGACAAGGCAAGTTTCAAACACGCGGTGGTTCCCGCGAATCTCTGTCGCTAACTTACTGCTCCACAGATTGACGAAGAGAAGGCCCTTGCTGAGGCTGCAGAGCGCGCCAAAAAGGAAGCTGAACGACTCATCAAGCAGGCCGAGCAGAAGGCCGCCAAAGAAAAGGCCGAGGCAGAGGCTGCCGCTGCCGCCAAAAAGCAGGCGGCGGAAAGCGATTTGGAGGAGGACTGGGAAGCCGCTGCCGCCTCCGACGAAGATGACGTCAAGGACAGCTGGGATGCTGACAGTGACGAAGAGGCAGAGAAGAAGAAGGCCGCTAACGGCAAGGCCGACAAGAAGGATGAGGATGAGGATGAGGAAGAGGACGAGGATGAAGATGATGACTCCGACTCCGAATCTGAATCCGACTCAGAGGACGAGAAGGAAACGGCAGCCCGTCAAGCCGAACTTCAACGCAAGAGGGAGGCTGCGGAGCGCCGTGAGAAGGCTCACCAGGCGGCGTTGGCTGCCAGATCCAAGGACAACCTCCGATCTCCTATTTGCTGTATTCTGGGTCACGTCGATACCGGAAAAACGAAGCTTCTCGACAAGATTCGTCAGACCAACGTGCAGGAGGGCGAAGCCGGTGGTATCACTCAACAAATTGGTGCCACTTACTTCCCTGTTGAGGCCATTAAGCAGAAGACCGCCGTCGTCAACCCTGACGGCGCCTTCGAGTTTAAGGTTCCCGGTCTGTTGGTCATCGATACCCCTGGTCACGAGTCCTTCTCCAACCTGCGCTCTCGTGGTTCATCTCTCTGCAACATCGCCATTCTCGTCGTCGATATCATGCACGGTCTCGAGCCCCAGACTCTGGAGTCCATGAGGATGCTCCGTGAGAGAAAGACTCCTTTCGTCGTTGCCCTCAACAAGATTGATCGTCTATACGGCTGGAAGAAGGTTGACAACAACGGCTTCCAGGAGAGTCTGGCGTTGCAGCCCAAGGGTGTCCAGAATGAGTTCAAGAACCGCCTGGAAAAGACCAAGGTCGCCTTTGCCGAGCAGGGTTTCAACGCTGAGCTCTTCTACGAGAACAAGTCCATGGCCAAGAACGTGTCTCTCATTCCCACTTCCGCCCACACCGGAGAGGGTATTCCCGATATGCTGAAGCTCATTGTTCAGCTCACCCAGGAGCGCATGGTCGGAGCCTTGATGTACCTTTCCGAGGTCCAGGCTACTGTCCTCGAGGTCAAGGCCATCGAAGGTTTCGGCATGACTGTTGACGTTGTTCTGTCTAACGGTATCCTGCGCGAGGGTGACAGGATAGTGTTGTGCGGTGTGGAAGGTGCCATCACCACAAACATTCGTGCGTTGTTGACACCGGCACCGCTGCGGGAGCTGCGTCTCAAGTCCGCTTATGTGCACAACAAGGAGGTCAAGGCCGCTCTCGGTGTCAAGATCAGTGCCCCTGGTCTCGAGGGTGCCATTGCCGGTTCTCGCATGATGGTGGTCGGCCCCGACGACGACGAGGACGACATCATTGACGAGGTCGAGGCCGATCTGGCAACTCTCTTTAGCCGTGTCGAGAAGACTGGTCGTGGTGTCAGCGTTCAGGCGTCCACTCTCGGTTCCCTCGAGGCCCTGCTGGATTTCCTCAAGGACTGCAAGATTCCCGTCGCCAACGTCGGTATCGGCCCGGTGTACAAGCGTGATGTCATGCAGGCCGGTATCATGTTGGAGAAGGCGTCCGACTACGCCGTCATGCTCTGCTTCGATGTCAAGGTCGACAAGGAAGCACAGCAGTACGCCGACGATGTCGGCGTCAAGGTCTTCACTGCGGACATCATCTACCACTTATTTGATGCCTTCAACAAGCACATGGCGGATCTGCTGGAGAAGAAGAAGGAAGAGTCCAAGATGTTGGCCGTGTTCCCCTGCGTGCTCAACACGGTCGCTGTCTTCAACAAGACTGGTCCCATCGTCGTCGGTGTTGACGTTGTTGACGGTCAGCTCAAGATCAACACGCCGATTGCAGCTGTCAAGACCAACGCCGTCACCGGTGTCAAGGAAATCGTCAACCTGGGTAGAGTGTAAGTCCATGTCTCATCGACCCGGCAAAAGAGACTATGAGAAGAATATGAAGCTAACATTTACAACCCTCCTAGTACCTCCATCGAGCGTGACCACAAGCAGATTCCAGTCTGCAAAAAGGGACAGCCCTCTGTCGCCGTCAAGATTGAAATGGGCGGCCACCAGCCGACGTACGGCCGCCAGCTCGAGGAGTCGGACGTGCTGTACAGTCTCATCTCGCGTGCCAGCATCAACACCCTCAAGGAGTTTTACCGCAAGGACGTGTCCAACGACGAGTGGCAGCTCATCATCAAGCTCAAGCCCCTCTTTGATATCCACTAATTGCGCTGAATCAGCCCTTCCCGCCTCCCCAACATGTTCGTCGAGGTGGTGTAGAGTTTCTATCTTGTTGAAGTACATGATGGAGAGGTTGGAGAGACGAAGTATGGAAAGGACGGATGGGTAGGGAAAGGGCATATCTGGCGGCTGGTAGCATGGAGGGATGGAAATGATGGACGACGTGCGAAAAAAAAAAAAAGTAACGTGGGTTTTTGTGTATGAGGAGGTGGTTTACCCCCCGTCCCCCCGGCAACGAAAAGAATCTTCGGCATTATTCTATTTCTATCTGTCCAAAAGCACATGCTTCATGGTTATTCTCAAAGGAAAAGATTTCGCAAGCTGTGTTCAAAGAGATTAAAGAGTTATTTTACCGAGGTTCATAACATGTTTCCCCGTGCCTTGTTCCTAAACCCCTGCTGCTTCATATGTTTTGATGTGTGCCGTTTCTTTTGTGGTTTGCCTTGATTGGACCCATGACAGCCAAACAAAGAGGACAACGGCTTCAAGACGGATCAAAGGTGAGCGAGTGTATATAGGTTTGTGTACGATGATAATTGCTATGATGGTTGCCGCCGCATACAGCACGGCATGCCTCTAGTCACGATAAGTTCGGGTGATGATCTTTCGAGGAACAATGAAGTGATTCTTCATGCTTCACATGATACAGAAAGAGATGGATTGCATTGGATAGTGTCAAATTTCATGTCATTTCTCTCATTCCATGATAACCGTCGAAGCTGCTCTAGCCTAATAACCCTTTGCCAACCCGAAAGAAACCATAGCTAGGGTCTATTCTATCATCTTCGTTGCTTCTCGCTTTTTGTTCTTGGTCTTTCCAGTTTCAGACTGGTCAGGTCTACGGGATCCTATTTCGTGCCCTCGGCCTCCGCGTCGGCCTTTACGCCGTCGGCATCGGTCATCTCCTCATCCTTAGGAGCCGGAGGAGCCTTCTCAGCTTCGGCAGCTTTGCGAGCCTCCTCCTCGGCGCGCTTGGCAGCTTTCTCCGCCTCCACTCTCTCCTGAACGATACGGCGCTCCTCCTCGACCTTCTCAAAGTGGCGCTGGACGATAGGTCCGGCCATGGCGCGGATCTCATCAATCTTGGCAACGTAGACAGCCTTGGTGGCGTCCTCGCCCTCATCGTAAAGCCAGTCCTGCAATAGGCTTAGCAGCTGCTTTCAGACCGCATGCACATGAGGGGTATCTTACCTCGGTCGCCTCGAGCTTCTCCTTGATCTTGGTCTTCTCCTCGTCGCTGGCGAACTCGGAATACTGGTCGTCGAGCTTGTTGCGAAGGTCGTAGATAAAGGTCTCGAGCTCGTTCTTCTTCTCCTCGGTATCGGCGACAAGCTTGTCCTCCATAACCATGGCAGATTCCTTCTCCAAGAGAGCGGTTCTTGCTGAGTCGGATAGGGAAGCTGTGCCACTGACAATGGGAAGATCGCCCTTGCGGACTTGCTTCTTGACCTTGCGAGTCTTCTTAGGAGCGTCCTCCTTGTTGTCAGTCTCCATGGCCTTTTGAGGTAAAAGTATTGTCAGCTTTGAGATCTCTTCATCCTCGACGAACGCGGAAGATTGGGGCGCAAAAGAACGCAACTCCGTGTTGATAGCGTAGCGCCGTCGCTTGAGCGGCGACTCCAAGCTATCAATCACGTTGGCAGACGACAAAACTTCGGGACGAGACGCCGCAACACTCACATCAGGGTCCTTCTTCTCGCCATCCTTGTCTTCTTCCTTGACCTCCTCTTCAACCTCCTGGTCCTCGACGTAGTAGCCGCTCTCGACGTTGAGAACGCCGTGGATGTTAACGCGAGCCTTCAGCTTGCAGATCATGAAGTCATCCTTGCCATCGGCCTTAACACCCTTGACAGAGAAGCGACCAATCCACGGGTTAATCTTTCCGGGGAGATCTTGAGGCTTAGCGTAGCGGGCCTCAAGGTCAAAGGGCTGCTTGCGGTAGAAGGTAAGAATCTTGGTGGACGGCAGAACATTACCGCGGTTGAAGACAGTCAGGCTGGTGTCCTCGTCGGGAATATCGGGAGCCTTCTCCCAGGCGAATTCGATGGGGTAGCTCATGATGTCCTGGACAGTAAAGTCGCGAACACGGAAGACGGGGGACAGAATGGCGCAGCTGAAGGCAGCGCCACGGGCAACGGCCTCGTCCTGGTTCAGGGTGAAAGACAGGGTCTTTCCGAAGAAAGACTGGATGCGCTCCTTGAGGGCGGGAACACGGCTACCACCACCAATGACCTCAATAACATCGATGTCATCCTTGGTCACCTTGGCCTCGGCAAGAGCCTGCTCGAGAGGGACGTGGACACGCTGCAGCAAGGGCTCGACGAGGGCCTCGAACTCCTGGCGTGTGATCATGGCAGAAACATCGACGTCGTTCATGATGGACTCGATGTTGACAGGGGCCTGCTGGTTGGCGGACAAAATCTTCTTGCACTTTTCGGCGGCAGCGATGGTGCGGGCCATAGCGCGGCCATTGGAGTGGATGTCAATCTTGTACTTGCCGTTGAACTCCTTGCCCAAGTGCTCGACGAGGGCTTTGTCAAAGTCACGACCACCAAAGTGACGGTCGAAGGCGGTACCCTTGACGGCCAGCTCGCCCTTCTTGAACTCAACAACAGAGCAGGTGTAGTTGCTGTGACCGATGTCGATAAAGGCAACACGGCGGGGTTTCTCCTCGGGGGCGGGGAGATCGAGTTTGGTGATACCCCAGCCGAGAGCGGCAGCAGTAGTGTCGTTCATGAGGCGGAGGAGCTTCAGGCCAGCGATCTCGGCGGCATCGATGATGGCGCGGCGCTGGATGTCGGTGAACCAAGCGGGAACACTCATAACCAAGTCGGAGACAGGAAGCTTCAGCTCAGCCTGTGTTGTTTGCTTAATCTTGCTGAGGTACATGGAGATCAGCTGGGTGTTGGAGAACTTCTCCTTCTTGCCAAGGTACGAAACCTCGACACCGACTTGGCCGTTCACATCGACGAGGGGAGCGGTAATGTACTGCTGCTCGAGCTGAGCATCGGGGTCGGTGAAGGTGCGGCCGGCCAGACGCTTGATGGAACCGACGGTGTTCTTGAGGTTGGAGATTTCTTGCGTCTTGGCGCTCTCGCCGAGGTATCGCGACTTGGGACCGAATCCAACGACAGACCTATGGATAATAGTTAGTTTGACTGCATTACCTCTCGATGCACTTTGGATGACCGAAAGTCTTGGATTAAACGTACGGCGTGGCGCGGTTGGAGACCTCGTTGGAAATCTAGATTCGACCGTTAGTAGTCATTGTTCTATCGCAAAATCTCTGCTTGATTTTTTTTTTTTGGCGGGGGAGGGGCAGAGGTCGGGGTACGCACCACATCGACACCGCGATTTCTGGCGACGGCGATGACCGTCTTGAGGGTTCCGAAATCGACACCTGCAGCGAAGAGCCCAGCGGTCAGCAACGGTTTGGCGAGACGACAGATGGAAAGGCGGTCAGAAAAAAGAGAGGCGCAAACATACCGACGACACTCATGTTGGGTGGTAGTGCTCTTTCTGTGAGGATATTGTAAACAAGGATATTCTGGCGGACTTTCTGATGGCAGCGGGGTTGCGCTCACAACAACGCTCTGAGAGGAAGAAAGAAAAGTGATGGACTTCGAGTCTTGATCGAGTGATGGCTGATTATCCGACTTGCGGGAATGGTATTTGCAAGCGGTCGAGTCGAAAAGTCGTCTCGTCGAAAAGGTTGGGGGTAGGAAAATGTCGAGTACAGACAAGTGCAAGGTTTAAGAGTTTGTCAATATGCAAGAGAACCTGAAGGTGGGATGTGCGGGAGTGTGGAAAAAAGTTGCAGTGCGCTCGCTCTAGCGTCACCAAGTCTGGCCCGGCTGTCCACCAAGTACCTGAGGTAAGGTAGGCCAGGTATGTAAAGTGTGGACTGTGGATGAGGTGGGCAGTACAGGGAAGACAGGGGAGGTCCAGGTAGTGGTAAGGTACGTGGCCACACCGGGATTACTTTGGATTATTGCTGACGGGAGGAGGGCGGTCAGGTACCTTTCGCTTGGGCACGGTACCTTATACTGAGGTGGTTTGGGTCGTGTGCTGTCGGCTTGGGTACCTACAACAAGGCATCGACGTTTAGCGTGTGACACTCTGTAACTGGAGTGTCTTCTACCTTGGCGGAAGTATCCTTTGCTGGAAGGGCGGATTGCTGTGACAGTGCGCTCTGGGAAGGTCAGGTACCTCAGAAAGGCGACGACGGGTGACTTGGAGATGGATGGACCGGTGGAATTCTGACGATGTCAGGGCGCTGAAATAGTAGTGGAGGCCGAATGGGAAAGAAGATTCTCCCTCGTTCTCTGTCATTCCTAATTGCCTGCCCCCCTCCTGCTTGGATCACCGTGCGTCCATTTGTCGCCGTCCGTCTAAGGTAGCTTCTGCCCCTCCACGCTCCTCCACCCCGCCACCCCTCACCAGACGGTCGTCCCTCACTCCAACTGGCTGCCGCGGAAGTGAGGCAATGTGGGCAACGAAGAACAACATCCACGTGTAAGGCAAGGCTGGCAAGTAGACTTGTTTGCCGTTGGTATCTATACGTACATCAGCCATGCCTTACCATAGTGTACCAATCCATCGTTCGTCATTCAAGAATGACAACAAGCCCTGTTCAACGACCCCACATCCCCAGTACTTGCTCATCTGTATTATTTGGTCTAAACATTGAGCGACGACCGCATTGCTTCAATTCTGACCCGTCTCACCTTGAACATAACTAGTCACGGTGCTTACTATTGTCAGGCTTTTCCCGTGAGACTGTTTTATAATAAGGCATCTATACAACCAGAAACCAACAGGCTTTCAGTGGTTGTTGCCAATTAAGGTACATTGAGGTACGATACCTATCATTCCGAGTCCACTGCACTTATCTAATCTTATCTTGGCGATACCCCTCAATTGGGTATCCATGCCGCGATAATTACCAAATGCATCTCGTCCCTCGGCGCTTTACATCCAAGTCTAGGATACCAATTACCTCACGGCATCCAGCAGTCTGCAAACCGCGTCGCTCGACCAAAATTGTTTGCTAATGCCATGGAACCGAATGCCGTTTCACCGAGAGTTCAGGTACTAACGGCCACATGTTGGATGGACAGGATACAAATTTCCCGCTATATCCAATACATCGTGAGCTTCAACACTCGATGTCATCAATTTGCAAGGCTAAGATTGCCTCAAAATGCATTGCATTAGGTAACTATTGCTAATAGCTTTCTGACCAAATGCGATTTCTCTCCATTGTCCGCCGTAGTAGGCGTTGTACAGCCAGCTTTTGCACTATCAACCTCTTGGCAGAAACGTTCAGGTTTACAAAAGAAATGGGAAAAAACTAAAGGTAAGGAGAGGGAAGGAAAAGAAAAGAAACTAGTGTTACCGGCGCGTCCTGATCTTCTCTTACTTGATCTTTGTAAGCCCTTCCACGCCATAATATGCACATGTATCCAATCTATCGCACAATGTCGTTGTTTTCTATGCACTTCGGCATCTTCTACGGCCTTCTCTTGGGCGAGTGGTCGCGGCTGTCCTTGCCGCCGCTTGAGCTTTCGCCCTCAGACTGGACATCTTCGAGTGGGATAGTGCGAACCAAACTGGCTCGCGCAAGCGGGCTGCGCCCGCCTCTGGCCGAATGCGCTGCGCTCATACCTTGCCTTGGCAAACCTTCTCCAGACTGTGGTCGTCCGGAGAAGCTGTTATCAACAGCGCCCATCCGGACGTTGTCGGTGTACTCCTGGCCTTTATCCATCGGATCGGGGGCATCTTGGTATCCTCCCCGCTTCATCTCCGCGTCGGTATATTCGTGTACCTGACCAGTGGCTGTAGTCTGAGCTCCAAAACGCTTAGAGTTGGACAAAAACTGGTTAAACTGGCTCTGTTGTGCAAGCTCGTACTTCTTGCGATCCTCTTCACCCATGATGCTCTCGACACGCCGAGGCATGTAGACTGAGTTGCCAGCAGTCTGCGACGACACCATACTATCAAATGAGTCGCGTGACTGCAATGCCCATGCCGGACCAAAACCACTAGGACCGGATCGGTTGACAGTGACTTGAGAGTCGTCGGCGTTGACATAGAATCCGGCAGCTGATTTCTTCCTCGCAGCGAAGCGTCCCTCGATTTGCGACGGTGGCTGGACAACACTGTGCTTGCGACCCATAGGGCCCATGTTGCCTTTGCCGCCGGCGATGCTCTCCTTTCTGGCCTCGGCGGCGGGAATGAATGATTCGGGCACAATATTGAGCTCATCTCCAGCTTCCTTGGCTTGCTCGATGGCTTCCTGGGCGGTGGTATCGGTGTCGGCAGTAGCGGCATCAGCTCTCGGGCCTCCCCACGTTCTCTGTCCAGCCGTGAAGATACCATAAACCATGTAAAACCAGTTGAAGAAGGGGTTCAGGACGAACATGATCGGGTACAACCAAATCTTGAACCGACGAAGCTTAGCGCCGAAATACAACATCATGAGCCAGTTGAGCCCAAGCGAAATGGCAATGAAGCCGACTGGCAAGTTATCAACCTTTTTAGAAGTGGTGATGATGGCGAGTACCATGATGAAAAACAAGAGAGCCGTGGTTCGAATGGTGTTTTGCATGAATCGAACGAGAACCAGCAGAGGGTAGCGCTTCCAGAGACGCCAATCAGTAAGCATGCAGACTTCGTTGGAGAGGAAACCAAGGAACCATCGTCTACGCTGCTTAATGAGTGATCTGTATGTCTGAACAGCCTCGGTCTTGCAGAAGGCGGAGGTACACATCTGGATCTGGTAACGCTTCTTGGCTCCGATCATGAACAAATGCGTAAGCCAGCGGTCCTCACCCAGATGACACTTGGCGAAGTCGAAAAGATCCTCGCACTGCTCTGCTTTGTCGGCAAAGTAGTATTTGGCCATGCGGCGGAAAGCAGAGAATCGAAGCATCGTCAAAGCACCGGGAAGACAAGTGACGGCGCCACACCCCGACTCGACAGTTCGCTCGAAAAGTTGGCCGTGGATATACTCCATGTCTTGGATCAGTGTGATCAAGCTATGCTTCTTAGTCGTAGACGTGATGACACCGGTCATGGCCAACATATCTCGGGGGTTGCCAGGACTCATTTCCATGTCAAAGACGAAGTTCTGTAAGCAGGTGGGATCCAGGATACAATCGGAGTCGATGAAAAGGATGAAGAGGTTGTCGTTTCTCTTCAGGTAATGCTCGTAAACCTTGTCGATGAGCTTGAAGGTAGCCTTCTGGCAATGGCGCTTTCCACCGTGGGGGAATCGGGAGACGGTAATGCGGGCAGACTTGTATGAGACATCGATGCTCTTGGGGTATGTCTCCAAGGTCAGTGGGACGCCCAACTTCTCGAGGGTGTTCAAGTAGAGTTCGTCTTCCTGGTCACCGTCGAACGAGAGGAAGACATGAATGCATGAGGGCGGGTAGTCGCAATCGACGACGGAGTTGATGGCAACAACAAGAACGTCTGGGTCCTCTTTGTAGACGGGCATGACAATGACGACTTTCGGTGCCGAGACTTCGTCCAGGACCTGCTTGATTCTCTTCTTTCTTCCGAGCTGGTTGGTAACCAGCTGATAGACGCAGAAAAGCCATGGAATGGTCAGAAGACCGGCAAAACTCCAGAAAGCGAACCACTGAAGCACATCGACCATGTTCGTTGGCCAGTACTTGACGACAGCAGCAGGCAATGGCAACGTGACTATCATGATCGGGAGGAAGATTGCTCTAGTAATGGCCATGAGTCCAACCATCTTCCATGTGAGAAATTTGTGTGACTCTTCCACTTACCTGAAACAAGTGAACAAGACGCCAACAATGACTGCTAATACTCGGATGGACCAATGCTCAGCCTTGACGAAGACTTTCCAGAGACAGTATAGAAATGCCGCAATCCACAGAAACCATTCGAGGATGGCTGCCAACATGACTAACCCAACAATCGCAGTGTAAACAATCTGGACATGTCAGCTAATGAGAAGATGGGTATGGCAGCGGCGTAGGAACTCACATCTTTGGGGGCCCAGTAATCGTCGTCCCCGGGCTCCGCCATCTTGACAAGATAACTGTAGTTGTCCATCGGGTCCAAAGTTTGCGCGGTGAATCGACGATACAAGAGCGGTGCGGACAAACGTAGGAGGGCAAGAAGCCGACCGGAACCCGCTACCTCAGCTCGGATGAAGAATCTCACGTCGCGGTGAGGGAGCCGGGATCGTGCAGATTAAGCGTGTTGTCGTCGGGTAGTTGCAACCGGTTGTTCGGCGCGTCCTATGTTTTACACTCGTTTTCTTGAGCCCAGTCGGACGGGTGTGTCGGGCTGGAGTCAAGACTCAGGTTGTGCCGTGCCAACGGAAGCAAGTAATCCGAACAAAGTGGTCGGTAACGGCGGAAGGCGAGCTCTGGTCGTCTTGCCGTGAAAATGGGCAAAGCTGCCTTTTTCTTCGAGTGAGGTCAGCTTGGGGCCATACCCAATGGGCCGGATGAGGAAACGACTCACCTCCCAGTAGTGAGTGACCCGCCCGTTCAGGTTCGCCACTCCAGCAAGAAAAGGTTCGTTGCGACACTCAAAGTCAGACACGCTCTTATGAGGTCAACGAGTGCATCATAAGCGGGGATCAGCAACAAAGGACAAAGGAGGATCGCGGAGCCACGGAAACTAAAAGAGACGCTGAGGGAGAAATTCAGATGACGGGAGATGTTGGCCGGCTCCTGCTCGTCTTAAGAAGCTTGGGGCGTAGTAAGGAGCGAGACGGAAAAGGAAAGGATACCAAAGACGAGGGAGGCGCGAACGGGGTTCGAGGCTCGATAGAACCGCGCCCGTCTAGGATCGATCCGGCACCTCACAGACTGAAGGGGGGATGGGGGTGTTCTGGATGGTCCAAGTTGATTAGGTGGGCAAAGAAGCTGATTAGGTATCCAGTCCAAGAGGATCAAGCAAACAAGCAAGCAAGCAGCTCTCAGGGATCACCGACCTGCACGGGTCACTTAAGCCGGTTGATGGATGGGCGCCAATGTCAAGCCAGAGGAGGGATCATTTGGCACAGATAGCCCACCCGATTGCACACGGGGTCCGACTCTTGGCATTGCGACCGGCCGGTTCGAGATGCAAATTTTACGCCTCTCGACACCTAGTGGACGCGTTTCTACAGTTTCCTGGACGTCCCCGGCTTCTGGTACGTGGCAACAATGACGAATCGGGCTGCCGTCGTGGCAATAGCCTCATCCAGAAATGCTGTATAGGTTTGCCGGGTGAGATAATCAGTATGGCATGTGGTGCGATATGCCTCGTGTCTTCGACTTTCCAACGCAGGCGGGTTCTCGACGCAATGCTCATCACGCAAGACTAGGTTGGGGGAATTGCCCGTCCCCATGGTCTCGTTTAGAAGCGCGATCGTTGCTGGAGAATGTTGTGTTTCCGATGGTAACGGCGAATACGTCGGCCGAGGCACTCGTTGCTGGGAACAACTCTGATCAAGATCAAGAGACGGACGTGACCATCATCTGTGGAATGCACAATGCACAGCCCAGCCGAGCCCGTGAGAATTGTTCTATACCCCTTCTAGGATCTGGGCCTACCTGTGTGCCTGTCTAAACGGCCCAGACCCTCCTGGGGTAAGGTAGCTTTCCCAATTTTCTAGTGTCCGCGCATTGAAGTGCAGAGAGATGCAGAATGCGACGTGCGTGGCAGGTTAACCAAGCAAGAACAAGTACGTGAAGTTGCATCTACCTTACCTACAAGGTGAAGCAAGGGTGTCTTGTCTTAGCTAAGCACATCAAGATGGGCAAGCCGCAAATCAGGCAAGGGTCAGGGATCAGACGAGCCGACAGGTGGGTCAACAGCACAGCCAGGAGTTCGGGCGGTAGGGGCCGCTGTATCAGAGAACTTCTGGTGCCCTGTACCTACCTAAGGTACCTTAGGCTATACGGAGTACGGATACGGCCACCTTATTCGACCGCCATGGCATTACCTAGGGTGAAATGCAAAGCATCGCAAAATGAAATAAGGTGAAGTGTCTCTTTTTGACTTTGGGGTGGAATGTTCTGTTCTCACAGTTGGTAGTTCACAGGCCGCAAACCGTCCGCTTGTTCCTGCGCGCGGTTGCCGTAGAACCAGCTCGGTTGATCTTTGCCATTGCGTCACCTCCTCAGACCGAACAACGACAACTACCTTGCCTCACTTCATGGAGGCAGCCTCGCTGAGCTTGGAGCACAACGAGAACCGAGCGAGGCAGCGAAGCAAGCTTCAGGTCGGTATCCTGGGGCCGGAAAACCCTTGCTGTCAAACGCTGAGAGGATGATCCATGCCCGCTGGGTTGACTGACGAGGAAGAAAACATTCGTGATTCGGATCTGGGGCATCCATTGCACTTTGAAGGACATTTGAAAATAAAATATGATTGTCCACCTTGCCCTGCGCTCCATCGAACCTACTACAGTCTTAAGTAAGGCAAGTCATTTCAAGGTACCTCACCTTACCACCTACCTTACACTACCTTAAAGGTCGGGTACCTTAAGCACCATGAACCTTGTCCGAGACGCTAAGACGATTCGGTCCAGGGGCAGCCAATCTTGCCGGCGAAGATCCCAGCTGATGTGGGGAATTCCTTCCCAAAACATCCATCGCGCTTGTCTTATTTCACCTCTCGACAGTCGAGATGGCAAAAACGAAATTCTCCGATGCGGCGATGCCCATGCAACCATGAATGACCCCGTCTACACTGAGTTCGGGCCATATCCAACTGGACGACTTCTGCCGCATTCGAAATGCTACAGAGTCCAGACAACCGTCTTCCAAATCATCCACTCCAACTCCGGCTTCATCGCAAGGCCAACCTCGAGCTTACTATCTTGAACCAAAGCACATGTCTGCTGCAATACACCACCCAACCTCTCCCGTCCTTGCATTCGCTTCGCATCCTTCTTTACTGATCCTTCTTCCACGTCCGCCTGTCCCACGTAGGCTCAGCGTTGCCATGGTTCGGTGCTGAGCATCTACCATACGGATTCGGTCCCAAAACGTCCGTGGACGTCCGAGCAACACAGGGATCAGTCGGAATGTGGTATTTCAGGACATGCTGGGACAACGCCGCCATACGCCCACGCGTGCCTCATTCACCCCCCACCCCTCTTCTAGACCACCAGTGGCACCCCTCCCGCTCTCACTCATCTTCGAGTCGCTCTCACATAAGATGGCATCATATAGGTGACTGAAAGTTGCTTGCGGCTTCGATTTGCCACGCGATCGCTCCCCGCCGCCGCCAACTCGAGTTTCAATTTGTGTGGCTAGTAATCTCTTTAACCACCTCACGTCTGAGAGCAACATGTTGTCGCCTTCGGTCAACTTTTCAGCACATCTACTCGGCCCTGGCTTGCAGTCTGTCGGTCAAGCCCGCTAAATACACCATGCTTGCACATATCAGGAACGTCCTTCTCCGTTTGCGATATCCAGGTTGAGGTAGGCGTCGCGGGAAGCTCGACATCGGACGAATGAAGCAAGCTTGTGCGCAAAAAAGGTCAAAGTCCGGCCCAACAAAGTCACTGAGCCATGTCAAAACTGTCGCCATCGGCCCCAACACGAGCACAGAGGGTCCTGTTCGTCTTTTGCTCTTGCCTGCCTTAGGCTGGAGGATACACCTTAGGCCTGCATGAACCTCGGAGCACACCTTCGCCTCACTTGTAGCCCATTTTACGACCACCGGATGTAGGTACTCAAACGTCCGCTCGCGGTTGCGGTCGCGATACAGCTCTGTAGCAACAGCTGCGCGGCAACAATGGCAGCGTCAAATGCACAGCAGGCTGTTGTCGGGACGTTTACTATAGTAAAAGAAAAACAACATTATGAGCACCGAGACCGGCTGGCTAGCATCGTTTTCCAAAATACGATGCAACGTCAGCCTTTTTCTCCCAAGATGAAACGAACGATGGCACCCTTTCCAAGAAATGATACTCCGTACAGCTTGTGCCAGCTGAAACATGTGCACTTCGTATTTCCTCTTGTCCATGGCTATTGCTTGCCAAGAGGCACCATCGAGGTACATCACACCTAGCACCGTCAACGACCCTGACCTATCTGCCACGACGCTCTGCTCCACTTTAGTCCAAGCCTCCAACCAGCGTCTTCAAAATTCTTGTGTGCGAATCCATCTGCGAATCCTGTACGAATACAAGATCAGGCCATCAGCCACTTGGCTGCGATGACGAAGCCAAATAACGACGTTCTCCTTTTTCCCGCTCGTCGTGCCGCCAACACTGCCGCCGTCAGCGAAGCAGTCGGCCAAGGCTCACACGTAAGATGTGTTTACTATCAACATTTCATGTTACGGGCTGCAATAGAAGTTGACGAATTGAGCTACCTCAGTCTGCGTATGCATCTGTTACCTTTCTCGATTTTGGACATCTACTTATTTCTATCAAAAAGAACGTTGGAATTCTCCTCTCTAAAGAAAAGGGGGCAGTTATCTCTTGTTTACTTGACCAGAGCGATGGCTACAGATCTTAAGAGGCACTTTACCATATGCTTAGCTGGTGGGATAAAGACTCGCTTTGCTCTATCCATTCCACCAGGTATTTCTCTCTTATCCTTCGTCATCACCCTCGCGCACGAACTACGATCCAGTTGGTAACTGGCCGTCGCTACAACACATGCCTCCTTATCCATACGACCCCGGCAGGTCAACCGCTGTCGATCGCTGTTTGGATTATTTACTTGCCAGTCTGTCGCAGATCTCGGCCAGACCATGAAGTTTTGTCAGTCTGGAAAGCCAAGCGGGGAGGCGTCTCCAGTAAGCTTCATTGACTGTGGGATGCACGACTGCGTTGGGTCTGCCTTGCATGGATTTTCTGCCTCAGTAAGCCTCATGAGCCGTCCTCCGCTTGGGAAGTTTTTTGGCAGCTGCGGCACCCTCCAGCGAGTTGTGTCTGTGGTGTCTGGAAGACTACAATGATGTGTTTCCTCAGAACCTAGTTCCGTATGATGGTGCGTTCTTCACGTCCTGTAGTGGAAGTGAGGTTTCCCCTTTGTCAGCAAACTCTACTGGCACTTGCGAACTCGGCG